CATAACGATAATAAGATCCACATTCATTCCTTATATTTACATTGGTTTATCTTTTGTGATAAAATACGCTAAAATGTTCTATTTTTTAATTGTTAAAATACCCGAAACCGTTGTTGCTTAATTCACCATATTTGTCAATCAAGTTCACCGACCCGCCCCTAACAATATAGTTCTATAAATAGACAGTCTTATTTGGATGATAGAATTATCAAATATTTAATATTCCATTGAAATATTAACAACAATTGTAAATTTAAATAAATTGTAAAATTAGATTAGACTCTAGGTAAAAAACTTGGGTCAATCTTTGTTTTCGTTTTCGATGTATTCATACGCCTTATTGTCACGTGACAAACTACAGTTATTGGAAAATAAACGCTGGTTTGTTTAACTTGTTTATTGAAGGGAGTAATAGTAGAAATGTAAATATAAGAGACTTAACTCATTGCATAGTCAGCATTTTATGTTAAATATAACATTGAAGTCACGCGATGACTGTATATCTTTTAAAGTTTTATCCCGTTAGTTACTGTACAAAACTTCGTACAATGTTCCTGTATGTACAGTTAGCAACAGGTACGAATTCATAAATTTACATTTGTTCAATTTGCTTAGACTTTCTTATTTGGCAATGACATTTTGCAGAACATGAATATGGCAGCAAAATAATTTTGTATTTTGACCTTTATATGCATCTTTCTTATAAAAATTGCTCCAAAAGCACAGAATGGTTAATTTTTGGAGTGAAGCACATCTTTTTTTGACCATTATTCCTATTCAGGGGCTATTTACAAAATTTATAAAAAATTGCAGGCTGTATTTAATGTGTTAATTTGGCTCTGGATGATCAAAGAAACATGATGCTTTTTCATTTGAGATGTATCTTTATGATACAGTGTTAATACTTTTACATTTTTCATTTTATTCACTAATACACTTTAAATTGTTTAATTTTACCGTCCAAATATAATAACTTGCCAAAATAATATTTATAATTTCTGTACCTAGTCTATTGTGATACTTTATTCTTATAGTTTTAATTGAGAAATTTTAATTTTAAATGATTTTTGATTGGCCTTATTTAAAAAAAAAAATTGGGCCAGCTGATAAAGCTCAATTTCTTTTAGGTTTTGTTTTTTAATTGCTGGAGTGCCAATTGTGGAATTTTCATTCTGAGAATGATAGCTGAAATAAAACTCTGTCAAAATATATTCCTTTGAACAGTCTCTGAAGAATCTAAATGAAAGCAGAGTTAGTTACTTCTTTGAACTTTGAAATTTGTAAAAGCAATCAAACTTTACAGATCATGAACATAATGATATGTATTATTTATGAAATATATAACTTGTAAACAAAATGTTTATTTAGATTGTTAAAGAGATTGTTGTTACAATTAGATGTCATTTGTGTGAAATCCAAAGTACATTCAGAAATAAATATTCTTTTCAAAAACTTTAATTTGTCATAATTGTTTTAATTTTTGAAATGTGGTGCAAAATGAATTTGAAAGGTATGGGTGCAAGGGAAACAAAACAGAATGCTGTTTGACTCTAACATTTCTTTTTCATTCTCTTTAATTCAGAATCAAACCTTTTGAACAATAATAATATTCTTTCAAAATGAGAAAGAACTCAACACATTGCAAAATTTTTCAACGTTTTTGTAGCACTCAAAATAACTTTCGAAAGTTTGAAATTGTTGTTATTCTGAAAAAAATATGTTTTTTGTGATCAGAATATATGAGGTCCTTAAAGAAAACAGTAGGTAATTAATAGAACAATACATAATTTTTTTATTAATCTCAACCAACACTCAGACAAACGACCATTGGTTATGTTAATTCTTTTATTTTGACCTCAATTTCACCACATCCTAATTTTATCATCAACCAATGATCTTCACTACCAATATGTACTGTGTCTGCTTTTACTTCACCATTCTCTGATATTACAACATTCTCTCCGCGTATCTGAAATTCTATTTCACAAGGATCAAAATATAGCACACGTCCATATAAATACTTCAAATGAGGATAGTCTGCATAAAATGGATTCATAGAAGTCAATCCAACATCTACATAGCCTGTTCCATAAAATTTCACTGACACTTTTTCATTATTTCGAATTTCTCTGTTTGAAAAGCAGCAGCCTGTAACATTTTCTTCAGAACTTTTCCAAGTAGCCACTCTTCTATCTGGTGATAAGTCTATTTCTGGATGATGCTCTAAACTAAATCCTAAATGCCCTGTGTGGCTGGATGAGCCTGAAATAGACGTGTTGTATAATAATTGTTTTGAAGAAGGTCCAGTGTTTAGCTTAGAAAATTAAGAAAATATAATAAAAATAAAAAAGAACTTACAACATCCACCCATTTTCCAGAAGAATTCAAGTTTTCATAATGAAATTATCTATAATAACCTAAATATTTCTTTGAATAATTCTTCTTAATAAAAATTTGTTATGAATAGGCCTTACCTACCAAATTGTATTTATTCAATACTATACAAACCCCATTCATACCTATTCAATTCATATACTGTATTCTAAATTAACAATGAAAGGTTAATGAATAGATTATTTGTGTAAAGCCATGTGAGTACGTACTTGTTTATTGGAATGGATACGTTTTGGTATATGCCATATTTTTATTTGGAACGAAATATCTACAACACCGGTTAAAAAATTTATTGAGGTACGAAAATAAGACGACACCGTTAAGTTGTGTTCATCTTGTTGACATTCCGGTTAATTGTTCAAATTGAATTAAAAAGGAAATCCTTTGACATGAGATAATGGTAAATATTCCCAAGATCAGTTGAGGTTAAAGATCGTATTTGATGATATGATTGTTATTGGATTAATGCCTTATTAATGCTATGTCTTTCATAAGTGCTAGATGAAACTAAAAAAAAAGTCATATGACCACGCCCACTTTGTCCTGGCTGTGGTGGATTAAATGGACAATTTTGATCTACATGTATTATTGAAGGACAAGTAGAATAATGTTGGAAAAATATACAAAAAAATAAACTTGCTGCATCTTTTTTATTAACCCCTATCTGTGATATTTCCATAACTGTATAATTTTAAGAGACCTTTTTCTTATCTGACATTCATTGATGTGATTCTTTATAATTATGTGGTGGTAGGATGTAAAACTCCATTCATTTCATTTATTACTATGTAGGCTATCCAATATTGGCTATAACAGGCAACAAACAATTTAACCTTTTGCTGAATTGCAGTCTAACCAGATGTCATTTTTACCCTGGCATGTGATATGAGAGCTGAATAAAACTCTTCCGGCTAGTAAAAGAAATGTTTGGACAACTGCATGACTCATACTATGAGTCTTATCGATTTTGAATAAGCTTATGTCTTTTCCTAGAACACCTATATGTTGATCAGAATGTTAACGCATCCAAGGATTTGTGTATGAAATTAACAGAAACTGCTTTATGTTATGGTCAATTGTGTTGATTTAAGATGTTAACAGCATGAAATATTCTTTTTCATTTTTATATTGTTAGAAAGATGACATTGAAGAAGTAATATTATAAATTGATGAACATGGCAAGTGGTGACATTACCAGGGCAGAATCCATAGATATAACAACTGGAGATGACCCATATAGTCCCAATGAATTACGACAAAGAAAATCTCTCAGTAAATATGGATCTGGATCTGGTTCAGAACCACCTAAAGATGATGGTTTATTTTGTGTCACAGATGATCATACTTATGGTGCTTTTGCTCAGGTTAGTTGCAATTTATTTTGACATGCTATTGTCATCAGGAGAGTAGATGTTGATATGTCATTGTCATCAGGTAAGTTAATATTGTCATGTCATTGTCATCAGGAGAGTAGATGTTGACATATCATTGTCATCAGTTAATATTGTCATGTCATGGCATCAGGTAAGTTAATGTTGACATGCTATTGTCATCAGGTAAGTTAATGTTGACATGTCATTGTCATCAGGTAAGTTAATAATGACATGTTAGTGTCATCAGGTGAGTAAATGTTGATGTGTCATTGTTGTTAGGTGAATTAATGTTGATGTGTCATTTTGACATGACATGTCATTGTGAACAGGCTAGTTGAGTTTTGACTTTTCAAATGTGTTGAAATGCGCACCTTAAGAAGGTGTTTAAGATGAGATCTAAAATGTGCTTTAAATGTGCTGATACATTTTAGCATCACAGATGTGATTTCGAAATATTATCTTTACAAGTACAACAAAAGGCTGTTGCAAGATTTATTTTATACTTTTATTCTTCCAGGGAAGAGATTATGAACCGATATATATCACCCATAAATATACAACTGAAGAAAGGAAAGCATTGGCAACATTTGAAAGTTTGGATTATCTCCCTTCCAATAGTGAAGCTTATAAACAATGGTTAAAGAGGAAGAGGGTATCAAGGTAGCTACTATTTTAATCAAATTAGTCATTCTATAACTTAGGTGCATTTTTATATGCAGAACGAAACCATTTACAGCTTGGTATTTTTCTAGTTGCAAATTATCATAATTAGTCAGTAATAATTTCTTTCTCAAGAAGCTCACATCAGTTTATTAATGGTTCCACAATTATGACGTTTGCTTATCCCTGTTGTGAAGATAAATAGGCAAGATGTAACCTGTTGACTTTTTAACAGTTGTCCCTTCAGTGATGTAGCTGGAAGTAACTGACAATAAACCAAGGCCCTGTGTTCAGACTGTGCATATTAAAAAATCTCTTGACTTGCGGAACTAACAAAAAAATATCTTATGCTACTGTCCTGGCCAAATTTCATGTAAATCTGCTTTTCTTTTTATTTCTACATTAGACGTTGATGAATTTTGTAGGTTAGAAATGGATAGATGGTTTATGATGGGTATGATAGGATTTTCTGTTGGTTTAGTAGGTTTTTTACTTCATCAGATAATAGAAATAATATCAGATGTAAAATGGGATAATGTTTCAAAATTAATTGCTGTGAGTATATTTGAAGGTTTTTATTTTTTACACAATCTGATTATAATTCAGCTGTCTACTGAAAAAAAAATTCCAACAAAGTATCACTGTCTAAAACTTAGATAAGTTTTGTGGGCATAATGTCAGGTTAATGGGCCTGCTTCTTGTGGAATTTATATTTCCTATCTATTTTATATTCATGTTGTGGCAAATTTAAGGATTCCTCCCATTTCTCAAGCATTCTCAAGATACCCCCTTTTGTGTATATAGCTTCAAATAGTGCCTGGTATGATTTGAATTTAATTCAATAAATCTTTGTTTCAGGAGGGTGATATGGCCTTGGCATGGCTATTTGCTGTTGGTTTTAGTATATTATTTATTGTTAGTAGTGCTGCTCTTGTTGTGGTAGGTGTCAACAAATCTGTTTCTAACATGTTTTACTTTGCACCCTTTATGGGTTTAAATACCATCAAGCTCAAAATGTGCAACTGTGTCTGGTTTGAAATCTGTGAGAAATCTTGGTCTTTTTATATGAAGATGTAGATAATTTGATGGAAATTCTGTGAGGTAATTTCAAGCTCTCGGGAGTTTTTATATGCATATTTAGGCATGGTCCTCCCCTCAGGCCTGTGAAAAGTCTTTTTTTGAAGTGAATACATGCATTGCTCCAAATTCATCTCAGGCCTTCTGAAATGGCTTCTGGGGGCCTCTCATTTTTGGCTTCACCCTCAGGCATTTTCTAGATACGCCCCAGAAGGTATACTGTTTTAATGTCAATAGGCTTGAAATAGTTGCTAGATGCAATATTATTAACCTCCATTGGTCAATATAGTTTTTGATTAGAAATGAATACAAAATTGGGATCATCTAAGGCCTCTTTTCCAGGCCAGATCTAAATAATTGAAAGAAATGTAGGTTGTTGGCATTATACAGTATAAAATTTGTGATATGCTGAAGTTAATGATGTTTTTGACAACAAATCACTTAGGATATAGGATTAAATAAAAACTTTATACTATGTTTTAATATCTGTACACTAAACTACCACACTTTAAATTAGCACAGTCTGTTTCAATAGTCATGGATATTCAAAACAATATTTCTGCAAAATAAACTACGCCGAATCATTTGGTGTCTGTACAAAAATAATAAGCTTAAATGCTCAATAGTTCTTTGCCTCAGAAATCACAAAATATGTTTGCGATCATTCTTTGCACTTCAACTCTGAAACAAGAAACTATAGTGTTAAAAACAAAAATCGAAAAAGCATTTCATATCAGAGCCTTTCTATTAAACATAATATTCAGTTCCACAATCAACATTAATTTATCATTGTGGTGAAAAGTTTTTAATTATGCAGTTATTGTTTATTCAGCAGTTATCAATGTTGAATGTAAATCATTTGTATAAAATGGATCTCTGGCCTTGATACTTCTTGAGACGTAGGGTTCAATATCACGCAACGGAACATGCTCTACTCGTGGATCATTAGCATGAACTGAAGTACTCTTTGTAAATCCATCAGCTTTCTGTAGTTGTGCACCTCCCCTACAGTGTCCTTCTCTACCAATACCCTGGGGATTTTCATCTAAAAATCTGGTCATGTAGTGTGTGACAAATCTTTGCCTATCATCAGCTATCGTTACTAATGGTTCATTATTTCCACTAAATCCAGATCTTTCCCGAGGACCAACAGCTGTTCTATTCAGCTTATCTAGTTCTGGATTCTTTGCCCCTTTAAATATATCTGAATTAACGCTGGTATGATTATTAGGATGAATTGTATTCAGATATTCTGCTGGATCACTCTTCTTGATCTTCTCAGCTCTTAAATTGGGCATATCATCAGCATGATCATAGGCATGTCCCATTACTCTGTGTACATACAATGGTTTGGCCTTTTCTCTGGTAAATCCAGACCCCTTTTCAGCTTCATTGGAAATGTGGGGTAATTTTTCGTCGCCGAATGGGTACCTAGAAGGTAGGTAATCTGTTTTCATAATGCTGGTTCCAGTTGGTCTAGTAGTATAAAATTCACTTCCATCTTTTTTATATGCAGAACTTGGATTGTAAGTTATTGGTTCCACACCATATCCATTAGTAAATCCAGTAGTCTCTTGAGTTCCGATTGTTTTGAATCTTCTATTGTCATCTGGATTTCTTCTTCCTTTATACTTTTCTTGGGTTTCTGATACCATGTACTTTGGACCATAACCATGATTCTCCATTTCTACAGGATCTTTTCCTTTTAAGCGATGAAGTAACGGTTTATAACTTGGTAAAGCATCAATTGGACTCACAGCACCAATCTTTGTATGTTTGACAACATTGTTGTCTCTAATGAAGCCTGTTCCTGTTTGGTGGACATGCCCAGGAAATATTTCATTACCCGAATTTTCTTGATAAGGAAGAAAATCCCTCTGTGTAACTGTGTGATAGTTCTTGGCAACTATATTACCCATGGCTGGATTGTCCACTTCATCCAGTCTTTGGCTGTAATAGACTCCTGGTCTGAAGTTAGACAAATAGCCTGTACCTGTGTGTCTGGTTGTTCTTGGTTTAAAATTTTCCCACTGCTTGCCATATTTGGTTGAATTTTCAGTAACATAAAACTTCATCACATTTGTGTCTGGTCCATAACTTTGGTTTATATGTGCATTACGACTTCCTTGTGGTAATGATCCCATTTTTGACTACTAACACTCACAGTGTCCGGCCGTAGTACATACAAATTACTTAAAATTCGAACTGGAATAGATTATCTGGTTAAATGATTGATTACATAAATGTTATTGTTTATCTTAACGACTAGATCTTGTTATCCAGACGCAATTATACAGCGTGAATGACACGATATTCACGGCTTCTTGGCAACGTTGGACTTGGTTACCTAAATAGCTTCCTCTTTGTCTTTTAATTTCATGACCATATCCGGAAGCATTTAATTTCATTTATGTTGGCAACATTCTTAATCCATTAGACAATGGAAGGAATTCACTGATTGCGTATTATTTGATATATTTAACGAAGTCTACATAAAAATGAATGATAACTTTAAAGCAAGTGAAACTGTTAGTAAAGGGGAAGAACTCACAAAACAATATGGCGTCAAAATTAAAACTTTCAAACACATTCATGAAAAAATGTATCATAAAACCCCGAGGTCTGAATACTTTTTGATATTATCGAGTCATACGCCCAACCCAATCAATAATGACTTTAACTAATTCAATAATCACTTGAACCAACCCTATCCTGGAATATTGTTAATGATCCTTGTTCCTAGACTGATAATATTTGATATCGTACTACTGATCGGATTCTAAAATTGTCAGTCAACTAATATTAACAATTAAGTTACAAGCCTACTGTTATAGGCCTTACTTGAAGCATAACAAATCTCAATGTCAAAAAATCATAACATTAATGTCACTACACTACACACAAGTTATTCTAAGCATGGGGACATTCTTCATGAATTTTCATTCTAACAAAGCTATGTAAGAATTTGATTGATTGTGTACGCTAATAGATATTGGTTAGTTTGCAATAAACTGATCTTATATACTATTATTAATTTCATTTTTTTTTTCAGTTTTGGAGACCAAGTGCATCTGGATCTGGGATACCAGAAGTAACAGGATTTTTAAATGGGACCAATGTACGACATATATTCAGCCTACAGACTATGGTTGTTAAGTTTTTATCATGTGTTATGGCTATAGGTTGTGGAATGCCTGTTGGTCCAGAAGGTCCCATGATTCACCTGGGGTAAGTGTATGATGTTTACAGTTCCATGCCTTATTCCATATCTTTACAGCATGTTACCATGATGCAAGTTTTCCTGAAGTATTGGCATAGATATTTTATGCACTTAAAAGCAACATACTTTCATTTGTACAAGATACTTTTCTCCTTTCTTTTCAGAGGACTGGTTGGAGCAGGTTTAAGCCAAACTAAATCTGAAACTTTAAGAATCAAAATTCCAATGTTTGAAAGGTTCCGAAATTCTGAAGACAAGTAAGTAAATTTTTTTTCTTTGAAATTATTCAGATTATCTTATGCTACTGTCTTCGTTAAAAAATGACTTTTTTCTAAAATTTGCTATCTTACACAAATTTTAGATATTGAGTGTCTTTGTACATTTATTGTTTAAGTGCATACTTGGTCATGAAATACATGTCATTTTGATTATGGATTTTCTTCTCTTTTGCAGACGTAACTTTATATCAGCTGGGGCAGCAGCAGGAGTTGCTTCTGCTTTTGGAGCACCAGTTGGAGGATTGCTTTTTTCTATGGAAGAAGTGTCATCATTTTGGACTACGACATTGTCTTGGCAAATATTCTTTTGTTGTATGGTGTCAGCTTTTACAACTGATTTGTTTAATTCAGCTTTTCATGGATTCAGTTATAGTGGAGATTTTGGTCAGTTTAAAACAGAAAGATACATTCTCTTTAATGTGAGTGTCTAAGTTGTTTATGATTTGAATATCAACATTTCATTGGAAATTGGTAATGCATTATTGTGAGTCAAATGTGCATTTTCAATTAATTTACCTGACATAAGGTGATATCTAACCAGGAAATATTCTTGTTCGGAAGTCTGCAAAGGTTGTAGTCTTATATAGGTATCAAGGTACTTGTTTGAGCTCTAATTCATTCCACTAAGTCTCAAGTTAGGTAGGTAAGACTGTAATCATGTCTCAAATTATCATGCGGTGAACTTGCCTGACAAATCTTGCCCTACCTGTTCTTCGGACGTGATATCGTCATGGTTAGGGCTCTCGTCTAAGGAACAGATAGGGCCAGATCTGTTAAGCTAGCTGTCAACATATCAGCAGAAATTTTAGCTTTAATTGTCACATGATCGAATAACAAGACTATCTCAATTGTATTTTGAAATTGATTGAAATGTGATGTTTATTGTAGATAAATCGAGGGGTAGATGTTAATTTGTTAATGTTTATACCAACAGTTATTATTGGTATATTAGGTGGACTACTTGGTGCCTTATTTACTATCATGAATCTTAAAATAACACGTAGTCGTAAAAAATTCTTATCTAAAGTAGCCACACCTGGCATACAGAAAGCTATTAGATTGATTGAACCTGCTCTTATTATGGTATGTTTTTGTTTTTATTTTTACTTTACTTTTCTCACACCTGACACACACGAACTGTCTTGGTCAGAGATTTTTGTCACCGACTAGAGTGGACTGGTATGGGCACACGAGGAGACAAAAATCTCCAAGTCCTCTTCCACCATGTCAATAATCACGTGTGGAGCATGCAATGGATCAACACCATAAATGTCTGTGCTGACGAGAATTTTATTTCAATGTCGCTAATTGCAAAATATGCTTTATCACATAAGGATAAATGGATAAGGATTAGTGATGTCATCAAACACTTAGTTTAAGTGGAATCACATGAACCATAGACACACATACAGAATTTAGAAAAACCTTTAAGTGTTAAGTAAGGTCATGCAATGTTTACAAAGTGTGAATTGCAATTTTTTTTTATTACAGATCATTGTTAGTTCTTTATCATTATTTTTACCTGCTGCATTTCCATGTACAACTTTTAAATGTATTGAAACCGACCTAGAACACGTTGTGTAAGTATAGTAGACTATTAATAAAATCTATTTATTATCCACTTAAATGTGTAAATTTTCAGTTTTACAAACACAATTTAGAACTCTTTAAGATAAATACAATAGGTTATATTAAGAAATTCATTTAAGAAAAATGTACTCTGTGGTCATCATACTAAAATAGTAATAAAAATGGCATACAATCAAACAACACTGTCAAATTAGTGTTAGAAAATGAAAATAGAGTATATATGATCTTGCGAAATATTGTAGGATATTTAGCAGTATCATAATTCTTTTTTTTTTTAAATATAATGTATACTGACTAAGGAGTTTGATACAACCAGCTGAAATGAAAGCTTTATTAGATCTTTTAATCCAAAGATTCTAATTGATGTCATTGCTACATAATTTTTATCATTTGTAGAGAGAACTGTGTAAATAGTACAACTAATGCATTCCATGTGGAACAGGAAGTGATGGTTTTTAATTGTCCAGCAGGTGAAGACTATCTGGTTAATAAAACATCATATCATACCAATAGAACATATAATGAATGTAAGTTTTTCTAAATGTGCCATAGATTGAATTTATATAGAAATAACAAGGGTCTTATCACTATCTTGGTGGAATTGAGAGGGTTCGCACAGTCAGAGTGTTAGAAACTTTACATCATGTATGTAATTTACTTGGTTACCTCAAATGAATGGTGGTTGTTGATTCTAATCTCAGTCAGCTTGTGAAATTTTGTGAACTTGAAATAGTCATCTTTCTTCATTATTCTGGTTGACCCAACTGTAAGCAGGTACTTATAATCCAGGAAAGATCAGTGCTAAGAAATTTGGTCAAGGACTAGCTGGGAGAAGGATCTTCATGAACCTAAGTTGTTATCCTTGTTACTGTTTATAAAAAACAAATGAAGCGATGCATTTTATTTAGAAATACTAGGGTCTTGTAACCTAGGGTAAGTTATTAGCTTCTTTGATATGTTTGCTGATTTATCATCACAGTATGAAGTTGAGAAGGTGGCTAATGCTGATATTTCAGCAAAATTTCCATCATTGCCTACAGCAAACGTTACCATCTTCATTTGTCTAATCAGATGCTATAAAATTCCATTTTTTTTCAGTGGCATCACTTCTATATGGTACAACAGAAACAGCAGTACGTCATTTATTTTCGCGTGAAACCCATTTACAGTTTGGTTATGCCACGTTGTTTACTGCTTTACCCTATTTTTTCTGTATGGTTTGTTGGTCATCAGGTACTTCTGTATCTAGTGGTATACTTGTTCCTATGTTGTAAGTTGATATCAATTTAATTTCTAGTTTAGAATATTACTTTACAATTGGAAAATTTGACATTTATTAATGAAACTAAATCACAAAGATTGAGAAATAAAAACTTCAGCCAATCTGAAATCATTGTCTTATTACTTCATCATTTTCTGTCCTCTAACAATACCCAAAGCCCAATACTGCCCTTGTCATACATCAGTATTAATAGTGATAGAGATAATGCTGTAGTTTTGGTGATACATAGGCTATATCTTTCTTGAAACTTGCCTTGCGATTTTCAGATGTAAGGCATATGTCATTGGTTAACTGCTCATTGAATTTATTCCTGTATTAATTTGATATTTTTCTTTTAGATTAATAGGAAGTTTATATGGTCGTATAATAGGATTAGTTATGGTATCATTATTTGGTGTACATACTGATCCTAATAGTTATTGGGTTTGGATGGATCCTGGTGCCTTCGCTTTGATTGGTGCTGCTTCATTTTTTGGTGGTGTTTCTAGACTAACACTTGCTGTAACAGTTATTATGGTATGATTTAATCTTTCCTTATATGCCGTGTCCTTTTCTTAATAACATGTTTTTAATGGGGTTTCTATATTTGCCAGATAAATTGATCGGGACAGGGGTATATAGTTAGTTAAATATATTGCAAAGTATGCTTCTTTTGCAATTCAAGGAAACAAATTTTTGTCACTTTCAGGCTAAGACTAACATTTTCACAGTCAAACTGATGAAAATTCTTTTTTTTTTCTCAACATCAGTTTTGGTACAAAATTTGTTTTATATATTTCAGATGGAATTAACTAATGATGTACAAGTTTTATTACCTGTCATGGTTGCTGTTATGGTTGGAAAATGGATTGGAGATTTTTTTACTCATCCTATATTTCATGCTCATTTAGAATTAAAATGCATTCCATTCTTAGATTCTGAGCCCAGACTTACTGCTGATGGCAAAAGGTACAGTTTGATTGCTTATTTTCTGTTCACAAGCACACAACCATTTTGAATATATCTACACTTCTTTTCAAGGCACAGGTGTAATAATGCATTCTGAACTATGTTATAACTTGTTGTTATAACTATTTGTTTTATAAATCCCAAACCGACCAATCTACTCCCCTCATAATGTTCTATGTATTGTGTTTATATTTTAGTGTACAATTCGAGTTATATAAAGCCAGTGATATTATGGTATCACCAGTTAAAACTATTAAGATATGTGAATCTGTAAGTTCTTTGGCTGATCTATTACTTCATACAACTTATGGTGGTTTTCCTGTGGTTAAAAATAATTCTTATGGTGATCAAGTATTTCATGGGGTCATCACTAGGTAAGAATATTACTATTTTATACTTCATCAATCTAACTTTATAATACAAATTTACAGTGTTATCACATTGAAGAACTACTTGTAGATATTGTTATTTTATAGATTAGAATTTATTTGTTATTTTAGAAATTAGAATTTATTTGTTATTTTAAAAATTAGAATTGACAATCATTTTTTGTTATTTTATAGATTATAATTTATTGTTATTTTATAGATTAGAATTGATAGTATTATTAAATCATGAAGAACTATTTAAAAATTATTGTTATTTTATAGATTAGAATTAACAGTATTATTAAATCATGAAGAACTATTTAAAAATTATTGTTATTTTATAGATTAGAATTTTTTGTTTTATATAGATTAGAATTAACAGTATTATTAAATCATGAAGAACTATTTATGGAAAGTGAAGAAGAAGTGAAAGATATAGAAAATGATGTCACATTGATAGGATATGAAAAGGTAAATATCAATGATGTTTAAGGCATATATTCCTCTATTATTTACAACTATATTGGCCAAAAAATCGCCTTGAACCATATTATCAGAAAAGGACATTCAGACATGCTTGACTTCTAGAAGAAATGAAAAATTTAAGTGGTTAAAAAATTTTTGTGGTCTTCAGCTTCTACGCTATCAAGACTAGATGCTTTCATATGCATAGACTGTTGCTTGTGATAATGATAACTTATTCCATTTAAGACTTGAGGCAGATCAAACTTTTACCAATAGTTAAAGGCATCACAATCTTAATAAAAGCTCTCAAATTCATAATGTTGATTCATTTTCTGTTTTAGTTAATGATTGATAAACTATCAAACCATGCAGAAATTTCCCATCAACTGAATTCCTACATAGATGATCCTAAATATGAGAAGAAACTTCTCAATCTTGTAAGTAGTTACAGTCAGATATCTGTGTTGTAAGTGCATAGAAAAAGAAAATGGCCTTACAATAGTTAACTCTGTATATTATAGAATGTGTTGGATTATCGAGAATGTAAAGTTATTAATTTCAATATGTGTTGCTATTGTTATTATTTGGGAGCCAGACGACTCACCGAGTTACACGCTTGCTCGCTAACCTGAAGGTCAAATGTTCAATCCAGGCAATACTTTCTGCTACAGACTGAGCACAATATTGATCCCCGATAGTTGGAAATCGAAAAAGAGTCTGCAAATGCTGCTGTCCTGGCAAAATTCTCACTCATTGTACTGCATAATGTTGCCCATCTTCAATAGCCTAATTAGGTGCAGAAAAGAAGAATGTAAAACTCCATTCATTTCTTTCTTCATTGAAACTATTAATATATTAATATTATTTTTTAAGGGTCCCTACATCAATACCTCAGCGTTTAGCATTCCAGCAAATTTTTCCCTCCAGAGAGCCTATATTTTATTTCGAACAATGGGTTTACGTCACATGCCAGTTGTCAACAGTGAGAACCATGTAGTTGGTATTATAACTAGAAAAGACTTAATGGGTTTTAATCTGAATGAAAAACTCTCTGATCTGCTATATGAAGAAATGGAAATGAACAGTAGGGTAGAAATGACTTCACCAGCTGAATCCAGAGCTTAAATATTCTTGAACATACTGACTCAAATAACCTTTTTATACAACTCCATTTCACCCATCAAATAGTCAAATAAACTGAACGTGTATGATCAAACAATGGATCAAATGGTTTTTTCATCTGATGCAAAAAAAAAAACAGAACATTGAATTTTTTTTTCAAATTTTATTTAAGTCCTGAAAACAAAAATCATTGGTAACCAAGCAATAGACTATGCCATGTGTCCATTGTAGTACCGGTAATCAAAAGGGATTTTACTTTCTTAGTTTCCCATTTGGTTGACCTCACCCCGTTTCATCTTAAATTCTCCTTACATTATATTTGTTATTAGCTTCATATTGCTAAAATCTAAAAAAAATAAACTAGTTAAATTTGTGATTTGACTATTCAGTTTTGTGCCAAAAACAAAAAACCCACATTTTTTGTATTGATCATGACAAGTATACCCATTACAATGCCTTCTAGCTTAATACTCTTATACAAGGTAATCACAAGTATGAAATTTGTAAAGAATTTTGTTTTTAGACTCAATATGTAAACGATTTAAATAAAATTGAATGTAGACATAAAATTATTTTATAATCACAGAATAATTCTTATAAAATTTTGATGAGCTCCTAAGTAGTTCTCACATTGAACCAATTTTTTCAAATAGGAAATCCCATTTATAATGTGTGATTTGTGTTCATAATTTATGTTTTTGAATTAATGTGTTCACTATTTTCCCTATCTTTTCCCTACTGTGATTTTTTTATAATTTTGTACATGTGTATATATATTGTGTGAAATTTTAATATTTTGCTCAATTATACACTTTCTGATATAAGTTTTTACTCAAAATGAAAAAAAAAGTGCAATTTTTGTATTAATTTTGCTTTCTTTATGCACCATCGCCATATGAGTCAGTAGACAACAAGCCAACCTTTGCTGCTGCAACACTGTGTTCTTATTTTTGAATTTGATTGGTTGTGGCATTATTCTCAACCAATAAAATGTTATCACTAAATGATTCTGAAGATAATTATCTTATATACACAATCACAAATTGATTAAATTGATAAGGGACATATGAGGTTAATATGTAGGAGATATTGTGCTGCTGTATCAAGAGATTGACTCTTTGGTGAAGCAAGATGTATTTTTTCTAATATAAACAAACAAGTATTTTGTACCTTGACTTAAATAACTTTTATGCAAAAAAACATAAGTGAATTATCAATATCAATAACATAAGTAATATTTACTTAAAGATGTGCTGTACATTACTTATAACATGATTGACAATGTCTTGTTATTTTCTCCTGTTTTTACCACCAACGCAACTTTAAATATAATAAATATATGTACAATTCATCTTTAATTTATTAAGCTATAATTTAGACTTGTATTAAAGCACTTAATTCATACACAAATACATTTCTACCTACATTATGTTGAAATAGATTGATTAGAATTATATGCCTATAGTCACTTTTGATTTGCTATGAAAACTTTTGTTATATATTTATGTATTCGTATTTTTTATATATATATGATTAAATAGATTTGTTATAAAATCATTGTAAAGAGTCTTTCTTTGTCCGTCCTGTAACGTAATTGGACAGACTGAATTATTTGGTTTTAGTTTACCATTTGCCAGAGCTGCAGATAGCTACAGAAACTATTTTAGATTTCCATGAGATGAAATAGAAATCAATTGATTTCATGAAGTTGAGATTGCTTGATATTAATATATCTTTTATATGTTCATGACAGCTTTAATGTTGCAGATAGCTTCATAAACTATGCTAGATGTCCATGACATGAAATTAAACCTTCTTACATTCATTCATTCATTACTATAGATTGGTATGTTTTACGAGTTCATGACAGCTTTAAGTTTCTATATATAGGCCTAACTCAATTTTGATAAAATGAACATAAATAACGATATATGAATTCAGATTCATTGGTCAATGTCCTTGATATCGATTTCCGTCACCATTTCGTTGAAATCTGACGATGAAATGTTTGCAAGAAATGTCACTTTTAGTTTTGTGTTTTCATGATAGCTTTAATACCCGAATAAGGTCTGGTGAAACGCGACTACTTTTCATCGGTCATTATCTCCCCTTGGCAGCTCTTTCATGTTTTTCATGGCGCTAATCTAAAGAAAAATAAATAATATTTTTTTATCAATTTTAAATTATTAAAATGAAAAGTTGCGAATTGATTTGTAAAAATGGCACCCATGACCCTATTCCTTTACCTGACGGTGAAGTAGTTGTTCTAGGAAGAAGCCCACTGACAAAAATAAAGGATGCAAAGTGCTCAAGAAATCAAGGTTTGTAAAACCTATTTTTCCTCAACTATTTCTCTAAACTGCACAGGCTATCAATCATAGTAATATTGTAGCTTGCTCGTAGCTCTATCGAAAACAAAAACATTATGGATGTTTTTCATCTTTAAAAATGATCCTTTGGTGCAGTAAGCTTATAGAGTGTACCAAACTGAGGTGCGGTATGAAATTTGTGATGATAACTGATTGATGCTGAGCCTTTCCCCTTGTTTGTATATGGATAAAAATTACCCTTAAATTTATGTGCACCATCTAAGTAGAAGTTATATTATTATAACCATATCTGTAGGCCTTACTGGTTAACAATATTACTTCTATATGTAAATCCTGATACTTGTATAACATGCTCACAATTTATTATGTGTTTGTTTATTACAGTTCAGTTAATAGCAGATTGGAAAAAGCAAGAGGTTGATGTCAAACAGTTAGGCAATCACTCTGGACATATTGATCAAACTAAAATAGAAAAGGGCAGCAGCATGAAATTAAAACCCGGTTCAACTTTATATATACTTAATGAGGACTATCCTCATGAAGTACAGTTTCAATTTCATGACATCAAACCCAAACGACTAAGTGGAATTAAAATACTTGATGTTTCTGGTGTTAAAAAGGCTAAAGTTGACATTAAATCTGAATTAGAACAGTTTTACAGTGATATTGATGCTCATGAACAGTCAGTGGAGGAAAGTAAAGGTTCTAATGTTAAAAATACACTAGTGAATAATCCTAATGTATCTAATCAGTCATCAGTTTCAAAAACTGTTAATTCATTCATATCATCAAATAAGACTCCAATACAGCCATTTCAAATTGCCGCCACCGGTGCATCTAGTAATCATCTCGCCAGTTCTGAAAAAGATTCAAAAAAGCGAAAATTTCATTTAAATGATTCAAAACAGGACAATTCCAGTGAAAAAATTATTAAGTTGGATGAGAAAGTTTCAAGATTTGAAAAATCTATCTCAGAAAACAAACCTTCTAAGCCAATTATCGATCTTATGAAGCCATTGAAAAAGGATGCAAAACCTGATACCAATATAACATCTGATGATAAAAATTCTAAATCTGAAAAAGTTACAAAATCTGATAAGGACTTTATTTTAACAGCTATTAAAGAGTCAAAGCAATCAAAACTGGATTTTAAGTCCGATCTAGCGTCTAATTCCAAAGCAGACTCAAATTCTAAAAACTTGGAAACAAAACTTAAAGACAAGGATAATAAATCAGATAAAGATTACAAATCAGATAACGATTACAAATCCAACAAAGATTACAAGTCAGATAAGCTTAAGGATTACAAATCCAACAAAGATTACAAATCTGACATAGATTACAAATCCAACAAAGATTACAAATCAGACAAAGATTACAAATCAGACAAAGATTACAGAGACTCTAAACATTCAAAGTCAGATAAGGACAAAGAATCTGGTGATAACAAGGATTCTAAATCTAAAGACAAGGATTCTAAATCTAAAGACAAGGATTCTAAATCTAAAGACAAGGATTCTAAATCTAAAGACAAGGATTCTAAATCTAAAGACAAGGATTCTAAAGAACGCGGTAGAAATGAAGACAAGGTCAGTTCTACCTCCAAATCCTCAGACAATAAAAATGTATCTGATAGTCAAGATGATGAAGAGAAGCGTGTACAAGATTTGAGTGAAAAATTAAAATTATTACAAGAAAAACAAAGGGCTGAGAAGAAAGACAAACCTGAATCTCCTGTGAAGCCAAAGATTGAATTCAAATTCTTCACTAAGAAGACACCAACAGCAAATGAATGGAAACAACATGATAAGTTATATGTCTACTCTTCTAAAGATATTGAGGGAAGATCAAAAGTAAGTTGATTATGTATTGATTTATATTTAAAGCCAAAACATTGATGCATAGTCAATGCATAGATTGTGTTTCAGTATTTAATGCCTTAAAAACAATTTTCACATCTTCTTGGGATGTTGGGGAATTTGAATGAATTTTTCTTTCTCTGTGTAGATTTCAAGGGATCTTGTGAATGATTAATTTTTTTATCAAATGTTTATTATTAAGATTGCAGGTTTTGATATTGATGGCACTATTATAACAACAGCCTCAGGAAAAGTTTTTCCAACTCACAGTGGAGACTGGAAGTAGGTGTAATATTTTTCAGCTTACTTATCTTTTTATATTGCCTGAAATCTGTCAACTCAGTCGGTCGGTTATGGATCATAATCACAGCCAGTAATCTGTTGACCCGGAACCTTTTACCATTTGTCATTGTGCCATTATTCCAGCCATAGATTTATTTGGATAAAAGGCAAGAAGACCACTTTTTAGAGAGTATTTATGATTTTTTCTTATTTCTTTCAAATGTAGCTGCACAGCTTTTCTCTTTTAAAGGTGGATCTAATATAAAGGATGTATCAAACAAACTGAATATATTTTCAGATTACATTACCCTGAAATACCCAAGAAAATTAAAGAGTTATATGCAAGTGGTTATAAAATAGTATTATTTACCAATCAGGTTTGTACGTCACTGTTAATTTTATGAAAACTGTTGTGATTAAATAACCCTTGAAACAATTCCTTAATCTCTGAGACTTTGGTGGCAACTGGAAATAGGATAGAGCTAGAAAGCTATAATAAGCTGATATTGTGGTCATTTGGTCTCAAATATTTTAAGCACCTGACAGATACTTTATTGAAAGATGTGCCTAAATGACTTTGTGCTGATTATTAGTGTGCCTAAAAAGTTTGTGCCAGTGAATATGTGCCTAATTGAGGTGTGCTTAAATAACACTGTGCCTAAATGATCATGTCTTGTGTATATTTGTGCCGAAATGACGAAATGACGGTGAACCGTATTGTTGGGTCAACTTGTCAACTTAATAAGCAAATTATACTAACATACAATTATATTTATATAGATGGGTGTTGCAAGAGGTAAAGTTAAGATTGAAGATCTAAAGGAGAAATTTACTAATATAGTTGAACGACTCAAAGTTCCAATACAGGTAGGATATGATCTTATGTAATATATCCTTCACTATAAGAAAAGCTTTTAATAGATCTAAGATTGGGCTTGGTAGTGTGGCCTCTTGTGAACAATACTGTCTTTTAGCATTCGACTGACACCTTACCATAGCTTATAATTAACAAATTGTCTATTTTGGTTAGGTTCTAGTAGCTACAGGTGCTGGTATGTATAGGAAACCCTGTACTGGTATGTGGGATTTTCTAAAAACAGAGGTAAGGGCTCAATTTTAGCTCAAAATGTATTCTGTGTATCTTAAAGATGACATTGATTTATGATAAGAGAAAGGAGATATAATTGTCCTCTGGTATAAGTGGCAGACGTATAGTAATAGAAGTTGTTTCTATGATATCCATTGCATTATTTGATTAGATTTAAAATTTTATTGACAGGGTAATGATGGAGTTGAAATCAAATTAAGAGAAAGTTTTTATGTTGGAGGTGAGTGGTTATAACCATTCTTATGTATGAATTGATTGTATGATGATTTGTTGTATGACGATGCCATTTTGAATTTTCTATCACTAGATTGACTGATTTAGATGATGATATTGGCAAATTACTTTAACAAAGACAAAAATGAGAACGAAATTAAATCTTGTTACCTTGAAGAATTGTACGGATTTCCCATATATATAAATATTCTTATCCACATAGATGCAGCAGGTAGACCTGATAAATGGAATCCAGGAAGAAAAAAAGATTTTTCTTGTAGTGATAGATTGGTAAGTTTCCAGCTACCTTCCAAAAACATTTATAACCGTAACCATTTACCATGAAAGAGACATCTGTTTGACCAATCGTACCTTAGTCTCAGAAACAGGAAGTTTTTAGCAAAGCTAATCAGTAATAGTGTTCAGAGTTAAAATGTTGACTCATCCAGCCATATATAGATAAGACATGAAAAAAAAGTGATATATTTATGTGATTTTCGGGCAGTTCTGCCGACTATTGACATATATTTAAGACACAAATCAATCCTTGAAAATAGCCAGCCATGGCCTCAAAGTCAATATAATTTTTAATGTGAAGGTATTTATTTGGACCCTAAAACTGTAAATTATGATTTAAGTTTTATCTAATTCTAGTTTGCTATTAATATTGGGGTACTTTTTCACACACCAGAAGAATTCTTTTTAAATAAACCAATAGCCAAGTTTTCACTGCCATCCTTTGATCCTGTAAGTATTCACTGTCTTTCTCTGTTTGTATTTCTCTATTTTGGTTCTCATGGCATCATCATTACTATTCAATGAAACTAAAGTTGAAATTTTTATTAAATTAATCAATTTTTTTTTGTAGAGAAATCTATCAGAAGAAGATCCTCTTACAACTCCACCTGGTGGTAAAATAACATCGAAATCACAAGAAGTAGGTTTATTTTTATTTATTTATTTTTTGGGCTAGTACACAAATTCATAAGTATGTACGTACTCATGGAAATCAGCATTTTTACTTTACATAGAATAGATGGAATCCATGGCATAAATAGTCAGGAAAAAGTATTATTATTGCTTTCATCTTTTCTATTTTTAGGTGATAGTTTTAACAGGTTTTCCAGCATGTAAGTAGACATTTCTTTCATGATGTAATTTTCATTTCTTTCATTGGTTATTATTTGTACCACCAAACAGTTTAGATATTAAGTGGAAATTATTCAATATACAATAATATAATACACTAGATATTGTATTTATATTATAACATTTTTATTTACAGCAGGAAAAACATTTTTTGCCAAGAAGTATTTGGTACCAAAAGGATATGTTCATGTCAATAGAGTAAGATTTTAAAATTAAAACTGAGCTTTTTTGAGTTAGAACTTAGAAGTACATGTATATATTCTATTATGTATTACTTATTCCTCATCTGTTTTGATTTCAAGCCAAAAATTTGAAATGCACTCGCATGTTAAAAGCATCGTGTCTTTGTGTGCTACCGACTGTGCTCAATTCAATTCCTCAACAGTAAAAACTCTTAGATTATGGTATCGCTTTTACAAAATTCAACTCATTGGCACTGGCTATCAGCTCAATTAGGACCGGAAAAGTAGAGAACTTAAAACCAAAATATCTTTTCATTTACAAGGTTTTTATTTCAGGATACATTAGGTACGTGGCAGAAATGTGTCAGTTTATGTAAGAAATCTTTACAAGGTGGTAAAAGTGTAGTTGTGGACAACACTAATCCTAATAAAGAGTCCAGAGAAAGGTAAAATATTTGTAGTTAAAGCTACATTGTGTCAAACAGTACCTTCAGCTTCACTGTTATATATATGAGGAACATCATGTTTCAAATGAGTTTATTTTAGTGTTCATTGAGTTGAAAATCTATTAGAAGCCTATATGTTTATTTATAGATATGTTAGCTGTGCTAGAGATGCTGATGTTCCTGTGCGATGTTTTGTATTATCAACTACAATAGATCAGGCTAAACACAATGAAAGGGTAAGCTTTTAATCTATATAATTTCCACCATTATTATTAGCTTTATATCTTTCCCGAATTATTATCCCTAGTGGACTCGAATAATTTTGAAGAAAACTTTTTCAAACGTCCTCAATTTCAATACTACAGCCTGTCCTTAAACTGTCATGGCCAAAAATTGAAAGACACAGGCTTTTTCTTGAGTCCATATAGTGTTTGCTGTATGTTGATTTTTGAGAATATTGAAGTGAACTCATTAAGATGTAAATATATTTTCTTTTAACAGTTTCGAGAAGCTACAGATAAATCTCATAAAGCTATCAATGATTTAATAATGAACTCTTTTAAGTAAGTTTCTCTGTTTTCTTTATATGTTGATGATTTTACACGTTTTCACATGATAGAAATCATTTGGGTGTTTGAGAATGTAAATTGCGTTTTAATGTTCTAAAAATACCAGAATTAGCTCAAAAACAATGTGGGATCACCCCAGAGAAGCGAATTAACGAAACTAGTTGCACAGGTGGGTGAGTATGAATGTATAGAAATTTGTACTGGGCATCACCAATCATGCCATGATACTATCACGATACAAGGATCACAATACAACACGAATTGTATCAAAATACGACTGTGATATGGTACGCATATTGCGGCATGTCGTATCGCGATACATCGATTCACCAATGTACAGTGCCAGCACTAGTAGAAATACTGTTTTTTTTTCTTATATTCTAACCTCCATTATTTATTCCAGGTCCAAGTTGGTTTTCCCAGATAAAGACGAAGGATTCAGTGAAATATTGAAAGTGAATTTTGTGCCAAAATTTGAGAACCCTGATCACTTTAGACTATATAGACAGTTTTTAATGGACAAATAATCCATTGATCTCATTTCTTCTGGCATCTTTAAAAATACAAAATTGAAATGGCCCAGTATTGTTTAAAGCAATCTAATTAAGAATTTTTAGTTTGTGTTTGAGTCTGGAATTACAGACTAAATTCCATGGAATGTTCTAGTGTACCAAGCTGTGCTCTTATTTCTTTGTTGACATCATTCATTGTTTTGTAATAATAAGGTGTTTGAAAACTACCCAAAAAAATTGTATAAAAGGAATCTTTGTTAATTGTTTATGAAAGCTTGTTTTGCTCATGATGTCCAGTCAAAAAAAAAGAAAAATGTAAATGCACTCATGTATGTGCAAAATATTAAAATCAACAACCCTGAAGAGCATAACCACAGTTATCATATAAAGTGTAATTTGAGCTATCGAATAAAAAAAGCTAATTAACAGAGCTATCACCAAAATTGGAAATTGAGCTATCGAATCACAAAAAGCTAATTAACTGAGCTATCACCAAAATTTGAAATTGAGCTATCGAATCACAAAAACCTAATTAACTGAGCTATCACTAAAATTGGAAATTGAGTTATCATGCAAGTTGGTAGATATGCTAATAAGTTACAAAATTGTTGATCAACTGATCTTTCAACCAAAATGAGCTATCATATCACTAATTTCTTATCAACTGATATATCAAAACAATTATTTCCTTATCAGATCAAATAAAGTACTCTTGTGAGTTTGAGATATAAAATAAACATGTTGAGATGAAGATTTTATATCTAAGAGAGTGAAAATTATAAATATTAAGATACAGATACAAGGCAACATGAATATCAACAAATATATGGGATAATTTGACAGACAAAATAGTCAACAAAATATTGTTTAAATAGGTCTGATACTGAAGATACTTAAAATTCTTTGGTTGAAACAAAAACATCTTTGGATGAAAAAAGTTACATAATTTATCTCCTTGTCAATAAAACTTTTTCAACAATTAATGGAATTCTGTGGTAGAGGATTAAATTTTCATTGACTACCACATTTCTTAAGACGGGAAAACATACACATAAACACTTGTTTTGGTCATCTAGACATATTTGTCAAAAAGTCGCAAATAACAGCAAAATCTGACAGAAAATAATGCAAAATATATATCTTTGGACGGAATACTTGGTTGAAAATAAACATTTAAAAATTATCACAATGTAAGAGAAAAATTACTAGTAAATGAATAAATAACAAGGTATATAAATAGATAAACTACTAGTTGATATTGTATAAAAAGTTACTATATAAATAATCTATTTGATATCACAGAGTAATGCTACTCCTCTCATTATCCAGTGAGCTGGAGACTGACTCTGACTTTGGGCACATTTTAAAGTAACATCAGCAATATAGGTCAAGTCAGTTCTTCTGGGCTTCTTGTAAATTGGGCAGACGTACATTGTTCTGACGTCATAGGTTGGACCGCCTGTACTGTTAACAGCAGTTATGTGAATAATAGGCATGTTATCAAACAGTTGTTTTGGTCGTGGTTCACATAATTTATTATTTCTCTTGTCCCAACCAGCTCCTTCGAGGAACAGACCATAAACATAGACTCCTTCTGTTGGTGGTGCTGGTATATCTTCTTTATTCTGGTATTTAGTGACGTCATTACTCAGTATAACACTGTCTAAAGCCCAACCTTTATGAGCTCTTGTCACCTCCTAGAATAAAAACCATACAAGTCACTTTTAGAACTAATGAATTAAGGCATGTATGCAATAGAAATGCCAAAGCTGTAAGGATTCTCTGTGAAAGAAGCTGAGTTCACAAATCCAATTGCAGAGTGGCATTAGGTGTTCCCAGAAGAACATTTTGAGGGTTTTGTGGTCACGTATTGGTCAAAGTGCACAATCTTGCTTATCTATTTCTGGCTTCACATAATATGCCCTTTTTTTATGAGAGAATTGCTCTGTAAATTTCAATTGACATTACCATTATACAGGATAAAAAGACATAAATATAAGATTCAAGATTACAAACCTGTCTCATGGCTGTTAAGAAACCTTGTGGATTAAAGAATCCTGTCATCCAGAAGGATAGAGGTCGGCCATCAAAACACCATGTATGGAACTGTTGATTTCTATCAATTAATTCAGTGAACCAGAAACCTAGAGTACTGGAATCCCAGGAAACCTAGAATAAAGATAGAACAACCATTGAAGTTACAAGAACATGATATCACTACAGGATGGCAGACGACAATGATCAAATTAATCCAATTGACCAAGCTGTGGATGGTTACAGTCATGGTCAAATGTTGAAGCAAAGACGTCCCTTTTTCTCTCAAAATATGAAAAGTACTTAAAAGTACTTACTTTACTCCATGATTTAGGTATTCTGGCATCATACATGGAATCCAAGGCATCTCTCAGATTTTCACTCATGATGATTGTTCCCTCAATGGCCAGTTTTAGATCTTGTAACGTTGTGCGTACTAAGCTAATAACTCTTTGCATTCTGTCAATTTCTTGTCGTAAGAAGATATTGATGGGTTGATATTCTCCCATCTTCTTTAATGCATTAGAAACCTCGAAAGGGACATAATCTGGTGGTAGTTTATCTAACATGTCGTCTGCTAATCTTGATACAATACTTTCTCTGGTTTCTCCTCCACCACTACTACTATCTTTAGGTTGAATACTTAAAATGGTGTCTAAACTGGTTTTAGCTGTATTACTTTGATATCTGTAATGAAATAATTTATTCATAATATAGCAGCAGTTCTCCAAAAGAACATCAGCCAGCAATTTTTACTACCATTTGTTCATATTCTGAAAATCAGTTGTTGTGACATGGAACATCCAAAACATAATAATGTCAAATGCATCAGGTAAACTCCAGTCAAACCATCCCCGGCTTATATATTCTGTACAAATCAAGCCCTTCCTTCCCTAGAATATGAAATCTGACTTACGTAATATCAGCATTACCATGCAATCCAAAAACTTCTGGTGAGTCATTGTTTGGTAAATCATTGATAAATTCATGATATTCAGCAATTTTCTGACATTTTGGTATGACGTAACCTTTACTGAAACTAAAGTTACTGTTAAACATCTTTTCATCAAACCATTCAGTACAGAATGTATTGAGCAGACGCTTATCAAAATCATCTGTAACTCGGCCTCCATATTGAATTTCACCCAACATGTATCGTACACAGGTCCATGTTACACCCTGAAATAATAGAAAAATATATTTTCCCAATCATTTTCCAACTATATGCGAACATGCAAAGAGAACCAAACGCCACTGTGAAATTATAGACTGAGATATGAAGCAAGCCAGTCTACAGACCCAAAATGTACTATGAAATTTAAGGAGAAAGGAAAGTTCAAAAGGAAAAGAACACAAAAAAGATTCACAAGATGATCATCAGGTGTACATAGTTGAATATTTTCTTTGCTTTGAGATAGCTATGAAGAAGAGTATGTTGGTGGACTTGTTTTTTTAAATTACAGCATAATATCTTACTCGTTTAATATCCATATCATCCAGATGGTTCTGTACAAATTGTACACTAGCATTATAATCAGCAGTATTAAATTCATAGGGTATATTCCATCCTAGAGGTCCAAACTTTCTTCTTTCTTGTACAATTGTATGGAGAAATCCTACAGCATATAACATGGGTTTCCATTGTGGCATGTTGGATATATCCAGGAAATCTTGGGTGATATTAGTATAGGTTCTTTTTAATCCAGCCTTTATACCTTGGGGTGGTTCATTAGTGAATTTAATGGCCATCTAAAATAAAATATTAAATCATATCAAAATAATATTTCATAGTATTAGAAGAATAGTGGAAATTTTTATTTAACTGCAACTGTTTTGAGACTTTTACCCATTTAACTTGGGACAGATGTTCTAACATTACATATACATTCCATTACAAGTGGAAAATCTAAAAAAGCTTCCCAAACTTTCCCAAACGAATTTTAAAATAAACAGACCAAGTACTAATGATCTGAAACTGCAAAATAAATTTCAAAATCCCAAACAACATAATTTGCCAAACTTTGGTAGCAGCTAATAAACTATTCACATAAGGATGTATATCAATCATAAGTAAGTAAGTAAGCCCACCTGTAGGAAACTGATAGGGAATTTAAGATGTTCTTCTGTTGTAACCCACAATCTAAATTCATCATGTATAGATTCAGTTTCAATGATAGTATCCATTACTTCTACTACAAAATCTAAACTCAGATGACAATTTTGTAGCAACAACCAGCCACCATTTTGAACTCCAAAAGATGTCAGACGTCTGGCATGTACTTCTTGACCTTGACCCATGGAGATGGCCTTACATTCTGAAAAAAATGAAAAAAAACAATTGAGTATCAACTTATTCCAAAGTGGCAGGTGGCAAGCCACAGAAACTTTTATAGACTTTTACTTTCCAAAATTTGGCTGAATTTGAACTCATAAGCGAAGAAAAAATAAACTAAGTACTCACCGATCCTGTGTTTCTTGGCAAGAGCTTCAATACTGGTAGTAGGATCTGATCCCATGGACAATAAACAAACCAATGGGTTACGATTATCACTTTCTTGCCACATTTTCTCCGTGTCCAAAATAACACCCTCTGCATATTTATCACCTAGAGTATCAGCAATGTACTTCTTAGCTTGTGGTAGTGTTCTATCTGGACACCATGATCGTACTAATAGCAGACGTCTAAATACATCCAGTGAATTATTATAACCATCTGGTATTATTTCTTCTTCTGGAGAGTCTTTATCAAACCATTGTTTCCATAACTTCTCATTTCTTGATACCTATAGTATATATATATATAAGTATAATTCCAATCAGATTTAACTATTCATGTTCAATTAGCTTACATAGCTCCTATCCCAGGGGGCAAAATTTTATAGGGGGACTCAACAAGTTTTTCAAGTCATCTAAATTTTTCAGGGGGGAGGCCAAAATACTATCTACAGCAGCACAAGGTTAGCTCTAAGCAACTACGACAAAAGCTACATTGTCATTTTGTCTCAAAATACAAACACAACCATGAATAATAGACATCAATATTTTAGAAAATATGGTGGTTTAGGTTCATTTAAGTGAAGAGCTGTCTCTCACTAACAAAATACTGAAGATTACTAACCTGATCCAAGATACCAGAGAATTGATGTAGATTACTCAGCTCTACCAGATTCAACCATGTTAAATCAACAATCCATTTATGTGGTTTGGGTGTGACAACATTCAAATCTAATGATGCACCACCTTAAATAGAGATTGTTTGAAATACTTGATCAGTTTGGGGTAAATTATTGAATTTTTTACATAAAACAAAATGGTAACTTTGCATCCTTTCATTGCAAGGCAGTCAAGCAATAATCTACTTTCAAACAAATTATAAGCATATTATAACGTTACCTTTAATCAGAGTCATAAATTCTTCGTGTTTAATTTTTCCTGCTTGAAGGTCAATCTTCAAGGCCAATAGCAAGGTGAAGGTCAGTTTATCTTTCTCATATAAACCACGGACAGCATATCTATATACTTCATAGGTCATAAACTCAATAATATTCAATATACGTTTCTGCGTAATTGGTGACTTGATCGATCTGAAGTTCAAATTTTCATGTTCAAATATCCATCTTTCTAGACATTTCATGGGGCTGCTTGATTGGTAAGTTCTGCACGTTTGGGATTCAGAATTCCAAAAAAACAGTAGGTACAGACAAAATTCAAAATGGTGGAGAAAGAAAAAGGAGGGAAATTTTTTTAGCCTTAATCTGTTCAGTAGGCTACAGATAGATGCCAGAATTGAAACAAACTGAACCTGTTCAGAACTGACCAATCAAGCACCACCATAATTAGAACTTTTCTTTCTCCTTTATTAGCAATTTCAAATGTCTATGGATCCTCAATATGTAAAGCACACTTTTGCAACCTATCGGATTGACTACACACCTAGTTGCACTAATACATAGGAAACTGTTCCTGTGTTCTATTTTGATTGTTTAGATAGTAATAGGTAAGAATGAAAAGTTTACCTTGCTAATGATCTATCAAATAAACCAAGGAATTGTCGTAGTGAGGTTTGATACATAACATTAACTAAACTCATTTCTGTTATTAAGAAATAGAGAATACTGCCTCGTGTAGCTACAGGTCGGAACTCTTCACGAGCTGTGTTAATTTTAATCTCTGTTTCTGCTGCATTCTTTAATTTCTGACTGACGTCGTCTGCTGTAACTTTAGTTATATTTAATACATTGATTAAATCTTCATCATCAACTAGAGAGCCCTGTAAACAAACACATCTATACATTTTACGACAGCTTGGACAAGACATAGACACTGTTTCAAAATAAAAAAAAATCTTGTATGATAAAAGCAGATGGGTATATTAAGGTTTTTTTTTTAATGTGCATTGGAAATTGTGCTCTTAATCTTTGCCTTGAAGAACTAGATGTTTTTCCATGCCAGCCCTTTTAAATTCCATCAAGAGGAAATCTGATTGGAATGTTCAAAGAAACTCTGTTGACCAAAGTCAAATGAACATTCAACTTATGATGTGATTGCCAAAATATTCTATTATGTGGCCATGTTGAAAGAAACAAACCTGAGTTGATGTTAATCTGAAGAGTAAATTATCTTCTAATTCTTTCATCTTTCTTTTATTAGAGGTAACTTCTTCCATTAGATTTACTCTTTCACTTTCTAACTCCTAAAATCAAATCAATTTTTTTATATTTGAGGTATTCAACTCATTGTTATTTTGGGTCCATAAAGATCACTTGCATTTTATTGCAACAAGCTGTGTCTTAGAAGGATGATGTCGTACAGAGCAAAAAAATTGCAACTTACAGCTTTTTCTGTGAGGATGACTCGACCTAGTAACTGATCTTCCAATCCTTTCATAGTAACAGTAAAATCAATAATGGAGGTACCAGCTGATATTTCAGGTGTATAAGATGGATTAGGTAGTTTAGTTGTTATATAGAGAGTGAATCCTTTCATAATATCACATTCTTTATCTCCTACTTTCACTTTCAATGTTGATCCAACTTTAATAAAGTTTTTCTCTAATACATTATCTAAAGCAGGATCTAGCTCTTCACCAACATCTTCTATCACCAGAGGTCGCCCTAATGACATGGAATCTTCTAGATGTTGACGGAAATATTTATGGTTTAATGATGTGATCTGAAAAAAAAGATAGATATTTTCTTACTTCTACTATGCAGTTTCTAGGTTCTAAAAGTCCTTGATTCTACATATTTATATGGTAATATTGTAGTCTGGAAAGATTTTTATGTTAGCAGAGTTGTCTCCCTTCCTTGACAAAGGGGCAAAGCCTAGGTCATATATCATATAACATTCTATTTCTATTCCTTTTAAGAGCTAAATTCATCATGGCATGAAGGAATACACTGTTACAAGATTCAATACCAAAACAACATACCTGCATTTCATTCTTGCCCTCTCTGTTTTTAATCCAAGATTTTCCCTGTCCTTGAGGATCAATGAGTAATGGATATCGTGCAGCCTTAGTTACAATTATACCATTCTGTATAGATAACTCATCACTTGGTAAACCTTGTAAATTCCATTCTCCAATCTGACAGATATAAATATTAAATTGAGGAAACATTTATCTATGTGATCCTTTGAAGATTCTTTTGCTCCTTATGAGAAACTGGAGCCAGTCAATGGAAAATAATTTGCCCAAAAAGTGGATAGACTATTGAACCTCAATTATTTGTCTCATGGAAATAACTTGACACGTTTTCATGCCACACATTGCAGACTCATTTTGTTTGTTTTTATTTTAATGAATGTCCAGATCAAATCCAGCTAGTGATTAAGCAAGCTTAACAACTTGGTCTGGTTGATAAATGATTGTAACTCACTGTAGTTGGATCTGTTAACATTGTAGTCACATTAAGATTAGCACTGTATGGTATTTTTCTGGTCTTTAATTCTTTCATCCAGTTTTTATTGAGTAGAATACGGAAATCTTGGTTGAATGGTCCAGAATAAGATAAGAAAGCTGTACATATCAGTACATCTCCTACCAATCTGAAATATAGGACAACCACATTTCATTACAAAATACCACTCGGAGTAATACATAAATTATGAATTTCCATTCTAAATTTTAGCGTAATGTCCATTTTGAAGAGCCCAAAGAACTATCATTGTCACTAAGTATATCTAACATTAAAAGTTGATTCCCTTACCTTCCAATCTGTGCTTTAAATTCTCGACTTTGTTCAGTCCATCTTTCTTTCTCTCCTGCTAAACCATCAATCAAAGCAGAAGCAGCATTCATCTTTCGTCGACAAGTTTCAGCATCTTCAACTAATGCCTGAAAAATAAAACATTTTCAACAATTAATGGTAAGGAAAACCGAAATTTACCCTAAAAAACCACAATGTGTGCTCAGTGTCAGCTCCCAAACCTTCTTCCACTTGCAACTAGACACATGGTATTTTCAATCAGACATGGCTGGAAAATAAAGCCAAATCAATAGTCCTGGTAGAGACCAGAATGGTTAATTGTCACATACCTGTTTTTCAGACATAGCCTTTTCATATTCAGCTCTGACCACAGCTAATTCTTTCTCTTTAGCATCTAATGTTTCTTGTGCAGCATTTAAATCAGCCATAGCTGAGTTTAATTTAGATTGCTGTACAATCAAGTTAGCCTGTAAACAAGAAAAGTTTGGTTTTGTCATCAGAATTTAACTCTTCCCAAAAGTGTTTCATTTTTGAAAAACTGCTCTTCAAATCTTGATAAGTTTTCATTGATTTGCAGGAAAAACAAAGTCAGATTTGACTTCTACAGACCGCTATGAAGAGTTTAAATTGAGTTCTATCTATTTAGACCAAAATATCACTTCAGCATAAAAATATCAGTTTACCTTCAGTGGTAATACTTCTTTGTTAATTTCAAAAAAGTAGGACATAGCTTTTGTCCAAGCAGCTAATCCAGCCACATTACCACAAACACGTTTAGCTGTTTCCAAGGTGTAATCTTCAGAGTCAAAATATGGTGCTAAAAACTCTACTGTTTCATCATTAATAGAGTCTTTAGGAAAGGTAACTAAAGCTTGTAGGAAGTTGGTGCCAGCCATCAACTGAAAAAGCAAACATTACTTTTTAATATTGATAAATAAAAATAAGTTAAAGAAATATACTGATGAAAATAGGTGAAAACCATGAAATGCATATAAAGAAAAATGGGTATGTGATGAGTAAGGCCTATGCGATAGGTATGTGATGAGTAAGGCCTATGCGATAGGTATGTGATGAGTAAGGCCTCTGCGATAGGTATGCGATAGGTATGTGATGAGTAAGGCCTATGCGATAGGTATGCGATAGGTATGCGATAGGTATGCAATGGGAATTTTTGGACAATACTTTTCATTGAGAAACATTGACATCCAGCAGACAATAGAACTGAAAAGGTATGTCATAAATATAGAGAATATCTGAGATAAAATGATTAACTACCTTCAAAGATTCTCCCCAAGATGGTTTGATATATTCTGGTTTATCTGCATCCACAGTTACTGGTAAAACTTTATTTTGGAACAATAACAATACACAATCCATGATTCTCATAATAAGATGTGGTGGTCGACCCAGTTTTCTCACAGTAGCAATATCAGCTGGTTTAATGGTATTTAAGGCAGCTTCAGCTTCTTCTAGAGCAGGTCGAGCAGCTTCTAATTTACGTTCTGCTACTTCCTTATCTCTATCAATCATATCTACAATAGCCTGAGCTTTATCTTTTACTTTCTGCACCTGGTTTTTAACTTTCTCAGCAGCTTGTGCTTTAACTGTTACTTCTTTTAAGACTTTCTCAGCTTTCTCTGATGCTATAGCTAGTTCTTTTTCTTTTTCAGCTAACTCCACCTTCAACTCTGCTACTGCTTCAGATGCTTCTATCAACTTGGACAAACCTTCAAAATAGATAACAATTTTTAGCAAAGAAAACATATTTATCATAAATATCACCAAGCAAAATCATGTGTAGCATTATTGCTTGGCTCATGCTAAAACCTTTTATCTGGCATGTCTATTTTAATCTTAAGTTAGGTTTAAATTTGACCAACCTGTATTCATTCTTTCAGCTAATTCACCAATCTCCATTTTCTTATTGGCATAAATAGTTTTATAACCATTGATAAATGATAAGTATGATTTGGGTGTGACATGAGTGGAGCGACGGTACCTATAAGAAACAAATCATCAGTTAGCACAACACGTTATTTCAAACTAATGTAATGATGTCCGTCATTTTCTTTCAATAAGATACCAGTATATGAACAGTGTGATGTATGGTGTCTGAGCTATGCCAACTTTTTTCATCAGGACAGGGTACAGTGACAGAGATATTTCTTGATATACTAGAGGGTATGTGCATTATATTCACAATTATATGGTAAATACAATAGAAGTTGTAAAATGTTTTCTCTGAAACAAACTTAAAAACTTTCTACTCACACTTCCAAACTGTTTCAGACAAAATATACAACAAAAAGACAATAACTATTTGATTAAAATTCCATTATTTAGACTTATTTCTTGCTTACCTTTGGAAATAATCAGTACAATTTTCAGCAACACCATCATGTATTGTACCCATAGAATGTATAATTTGTAGTTTTACTTCTTCACTACATACAATCTCAAATTCTGACAGGAAATGGTGAGCTACAGCAATCAAAGCATCTTTGGGCCATCTCTGGAACCAATCCATAGTACATCCAGAAATTAATCCTGGAAACTTCAAGGCTCTTTGACGGAATTTCTCACCAACCTATAAACAAACACAGTTAATATTATCATCAAGTTTCATACATTCTAACAAAAATGATACACCCAGCTTTTCTCAGGATGATATGAAAAAAAGAAACTGAGCTATATATCCATGACAAAAATTCAGCAAACTTAAAGCAACAATTTTTCAACAATCTTAGAAAAGTTTTTTACACCACCGATGAAGCAGCAAGATTCAAAAATTCAAAGGTATCATCTTGACCAATGCTGGAATCGAACCATGGTGCTCTAGGTTAGTGAGAAAACATTGAACTCGATGCCACCATCCATCCATAAAGAAATGAAATTGCAAAAAAGAAATGAAATAAACTTACAGGAGAGAAACACAGTGAGATATGTAGATTATTTCTCACTCTTGATAAATAGTATTCATAAAGATTTTCATTGGATGGTGGTCGTCGTGGAAACTCTTTCTTCATTATTGGTACTAATTCACCCAAAATCTCATCCATTTCATCACGGGCAAATAAATTAGCAACCTGCAATTCAAATTGTGTTTGTTCAAATCAAGTATACTGAACTAAAATAGCATATAGAACACTTTGCTAACTTTTTGGTATCCATAAAGCCAAACTTGTGTCTGAATTTTGAATCAAAAGTGTACAGTTTGAAGAACTATATAAACTTACCACACCAGATGACAACATATTGTTCAGATATTCCAGGAAACCTTCATCTTTTATTTCTTGATCAGTAAATATAAAGGTGATTCCCTTTCCCTGTTGTCCAGCCGTTCTGTACAGGTATTTTAGATCTTCTAGTAGGTTAGATACATTGTAGGATCTGAAAAAAGTTCAGTCATTCTTATAAGCAGATGTCAGATTGAAATCTTGATTATCCAGTAGAAATATTTTGAATAAGAAAGGTTACTGTACATCTTTGGCCATTAAGGCAAGTACAAGCAAGACAATTCCATCATTCAAAAATCTTATCGAAAGAATGTAAAAATCAAGAGTTAAAGTGGATTTTGAGAAGAATGAAAGGCAAATTGCAATATCAAATCAATATGATATGTAAAAACCTCTGTAGCTAAGCCCTGAAAGATAGAACTACCTATGATTCTCTGCAAAGACAAATGAAACTTGTATAGAACATTCCTGATAAATAAAATAAAATAGAGTTTTATTTGGTCTAATGAAACTGGTTAAACATACCTGGTTAATGTAATCTGGAATGTTTTATAACCAGCTATAAATGATGCCAGTCTAGTTAGAGATTGTTTACCAGAACCACCAACACCAACTAATAAAGCATGACCTCTTGGTGTTCTTATAATTCTTGATACTTTCAATAAATGTATCATAGCATCGTTAAAGAATACTAGATCCATACCAGCTCCACGTATACTGTCATTATACTGTTGTAGAAACATACTTAATCTTTCTTTTAACTGATCCAAAGACTCAATCTAAAATAAACCAAGTTACAAGTTCAATTAGAAGCAATTCCCTACATACCAACTTTGGTTAATAGCTATATTAAAGATGTGTTCCCTTATTTTCATGTAGTTCTTGTCTCTCTTGACAAGTTTGTTGAATAAGATCTTTCCCAAACTATCAATTTACAACCAGATTTTCACAAATTTAACAAGTTCGATTCCATATATCTGTTATAATTCATATATTGAGAAGCAGTTGAATCTTCCACTCTCGACAATCATTTGATCTTCCATTATACTTACTGGTTCATATACTTTGGGCATATCAAAATCTGCATCATCTGGTTCATCACCAGTAGCTTCTGGAGCATCTCTAGAAATGAAATTTATGATGAATCAATTAGAAATCAATCAACAAGTAAACATTATTCATTATCAACAACACATTTCTGTTGCTATGCTGAAGAATGAGATCCAAATTTTAATTGTTTAAGATCATAATGCCAATTGGAAAGATGTTAATTGAAATGTGAGCTGAGTTTACATCCTTGTGGGACAGACCATTAGGATATCTGGTAAGAATGCATGCAATTTATTCAAGATAATTTCGTTAGTAAACACACAAACACAGGCAAATTGAATTCTTCAGACTCTAATCTAGATAAAAAGCAACATATCTAACGTGAAGGACTAAATAAAATGTTTTGCATGCCGTTAATTTGAGTTTAATCCAGCAAAAAAAATACGGGGCGAGGTTTAATGGCTGTAGCTTAATAAAGGCAAATAAGGCAGACTTCAGACCAGGAGTGTGCTAGGGTCTTAGGTTTTATTTAATATGGACCAAAACGCTTGTAAGTAGATGCAAAATATGCTAAGGGCGGGACTTAATATGTCGATCAAAGGCCACTCCTACTTTCAGAGTGGTCAGGGTAAATTTGCATTACATTTGCAACTTGGCCTATTTTTTCAGCACACCAAAGGTCCATCTATCCCAGGCTCAACCAACATAAAATTGTAGGATAATAAGAAATATACCTCAGGAAATCTGAGAAATACAACGTTGGGTTGACCAGATCTAAATGATCTTCTCCTAAATCTTCTGCAACAATACGTTTCAACGTCTTGTCAATCCAGGCTGTGTCTTCTGGGTTCACAAACCTAATTAGCATATTAGTAGCCACACCGTTAATAAAATAGGCAAGGTCATGCTTAATGTTTGCTTTTTCTCTATTTTAACAGTCCCTAGCTGCATTTAATATAATTGAATTTTATCAAAAATCCAATACAATAATCTGATTGGTTAATACAATTCTAATGAAAATTCAATCAGATGATTGCATTCCTTAAAATTTATGATTTTTTTTATGTAACCTAGTAACAAATATATGTGTTTTGCTTATTTTAAAAACAAAAGCCCGATAATTTGGAAGAGAAAGAGCAAACATATTAAATCACATCTATTAAGATAAAAAAAAAACCAGTGCAAAGTGCAAGAAGCAAACTAAAGTTCCACTCGTGCAAATATTGAGCGACTCTTTTCACTGTACCTCATAAAATCAACATAATAATGTAATTTTTCAACCATGGCTGCATAATTGTCCCCTAAATCCTCTGTTGTCACTCGAGACATTGTTTTACTAAACCAATTAAAATCCTCAACATCTGTAAATCTATATAGGCCACAAAATATCATTATAATTCATTGAAACATTGGTTTACATATCTTTTATACATAATTTATTCATGAAATTTGAAAGTGTTTTTCAGAGAAAATGTTGTTATTTGTATCCTTTTTAATTAATTCTATTCTTGATGTCCTGAAAGGAATAATGTTCTCGGTCATTTGAGCAACCCTTTCCCGGCCTGGTTGGAAATAAAGCCAAATCAACAGCCCTGTTTTAAATGCCGGCTAAACAATAGAACAGGGGAAAATCATATTTGTTATGTGAAAAACTTGAAATTCTTTTTTCTTTTGTAACTGAATTTCTGGCCTCACCCAAATGTTTGGCGACTCCATGTTACGTAAATTTCTTGGAACAAAAGTTTATAAATATAAAGGTCGGCTCTCATTGGCTGTCAAGATCTACATGAATGTCATGAAGACAAATTCCATTTCATTTAATTCTCAATTCCCTTAAGCTTTAAGAAATCAATCTGAAAAACACTTTCATTTCTAAAACTTTGAAATCTTTGATCAAATAAAAGAATTTAACCTGTCAGCTATAACACGACAACATTCGTGTTTCCACAATCCCATTAATAATTCAGGTGAGGTTATAACAGAGGATTCCGTATTCAACATCCCCTGCCAGATTCTAGATAAATCACGCAGATTGAATATATAGTGAAATTTAGCTGGTGTTGGTAACATTTTAATCTACAACAAAATAATGCATTCAGTATGTTATGATATTACAGGCCAGGAAATGGCTCAGTTAGCGTAAAAAAGCAATCATATATTACAGAGGAACTTTGTGGAGCCTATCAGAATCCTTAAAACAAAAAACAGACTGATATCTAGATTAAAACAATCAAACACTTAAATGGAGTTAGACTAAAGAATGTACCTACAAGTAACTTTTAAAGCCAACCCTCGCTAGGAATATGACCTCTAATAAGTGTTGAGTTCTCTATGTTTAAAAGATTCTTACCTTTGTGAGTTGCCATAGTCTTCTAGTTACAGGAACCAGTTGTTTGACCAAATTTCTCACATTTTCAGTAAATCCTCGTTCAGCACAGAAATGACCACAACCAATAACTGAGAAGATTTTATCAATGGAGGAATTGGAGGGTAGTGTACAGTTGAAGATGGCAAACTGACGTTTCAGTCTTTGTGGTATATCATTTCTACCTCCTCCAGGTTGAATCATAGCAGCACAGAACTGAAAAAGTGTAGCAGACATTAAAGAAGAGTACCGTATGCAAAATATCTGCAATAAGCCAATGGGAATAAACCAAAAGAATATGCATAAAGCATAAATGCATTGCACAAGCAGTCAACTTAGATAACAAACCACTGGGAATTCAACATCCAAAGCAGCTTGAATAACCGTCATCTGAGTCTCCAACATGAGATGAGCTATGGTCAATTTAAAACACAGTTTTGGGAATTAAAAACCATCAAGAATTAAACATAACTTGTACCTACCTGCATATCAACTAGGTTAATAATATCTCCAGGTTTCTCTAGGTTATAAAATCCATGAGTTTCCATCAGTTGTCTTACTATTTCATTAGCTATCTGGTCTCCCCATTCATTAATAACTGGCATATTAATATCATCAATAAATACAGTCATTTTCTTTCCTGCTGGTGGACCATAGGTTGTACCTACTCTCTTGTCTACATAACTTTCTATAGTTCTCTGTACAAAAGACAGAAAAGTTGTCATGGAAAGGGAACAAAATGGGATATTTTAAACTTTTTTTGATCATGTTGGCCTAATCGGATAACAATTTTAGTCAGAGAATCCAAGAATTCCACAAGCATGATGGTGTTATATCTTAATGAAAAGAGCATTTGACTGCTTGAATTATTGAACATGTCTGTTTTTAAATGTCTTAAGATTTAGATTGAGTAAAATAACGCAGAGAAATTAAATTAATTTTTTTTTTTAATTAGTAATTGATAAAGTTTGACATATGTAATCTCAAAATTGCATCCACTTGCATCACGAGCAAAGAGCTGGTACTGCATGCAACAGTAAAACTCCAAAGAATGATTGAAGAAAGATGACAGGATAAGACATACCTGGAACAACAATGGTGTTGTAGCAGAAGAGAAGTTAACAGATTGAGCAAGATGTTCTTCTGGATTGTACTGATTCATATAGTTAGTAATCATAACAGTTTTAGCGGTACCCTGTTCACCAATTAATAGTACTGCTTTCTCTTGTTTACAGATAGTATGTATCAGAAACTCTGTACGGACATTATCTACATTAGGTACCAATATATTACAGTATTCTGGTGTATAATCAGATGGGTAAGTATAGTCTTTTACTTTTTGGTTCCAGTGAATCCAGCTCCCTGCAAATTGAGAGTAACGGTAACCGTCTACAATAAGGTTTTAACTTCATCATTTCAGAATTAAACAAAACTTTGATAGACTAAATAACAAGTCTTTCTTAATTCATTTTTGGAATTCATACCTTTTTTTTCACCCTAGGATAATTATTAACGTTCTTAACAATTTAATGGCTGCCAAAGAATATTTGACTGACCTCAGTTTTACAGGAAGAACTACAGAAAACTTATCTGATCTCAAGTTTTATTAAAGAAACCATTGAAAATGTGATTCATGTACATGAAGGAACTCAAATTCTTTTTGTTATATTTAGCTTCTTCCCAGACAATATAAAGATGTATCATGGATGCCTATGAAGATCTTAATGACCATTAATGACAGTTATAGTTAATCAAGGAATTGCACGGAAAATAGTAACTTACCATCAGCATCAACACAGTAATCAAAGATGGTGGCATCAGAACCGCTTGGTATATCTGGTAAATCTAATTTAAAATCTTCATTCTTCCTGATGAACTCCTCTAATTTAGCTCGATCATCTAACTCTAGGAAAGCTCCAACACTCCACATGACAGTAAATATATAGAGTCTTTCATAATGTTCTTGACTATAATGACCTTCTTTTTCATCTTTAACTGGTATTAAACCAGACATCAACTTAGTTGCCTGAAATACAAAATAATATTGTCTGTGTTGCAGAAGCCCCATTGAGATCTCAGTGGCCCGCACACAATTGTGATCACCAAAAATTGTGTATGGTTGCGAATAAGAATATCCACCATGATAAACCTCATATAATTTTGTTGTGAGATGCTTTCATTATTTGCAACCATACGCAACTGGTAATCACTATGGTTTGAGGGCACTTGTAGCGAGAAAAGACTTATTAATTCAGTCACAAACATGCAGATGGAAGGGTGTAAAAGGCAATTCACATTTATTTGATTTCAGTGTAAACTGACTACAGAACAAAAGTCACAGTTACATGATCTGTTTTTGACTCTTTCAGCCACAGTTAAAATGGTGTACTGTTATGTTTATTTCAACAGACAATATCAAAGTCTTTAAGTGTAATAAAACTTACCTGTGCTATAATAAAGGCTTCTAGAACATCCATTTTAAATACCAGATTCTGTACAGCATAACGTAAAATAGCTGGGAATGAGGTTTGAAATAGTTCTAGTATAATATTAGTTTCAAATGATGGTCTAGATAGTAACCATCCCTGAAAATAAAGAAGGTAGAAAATCAGCCATTTTGAAGGATCATAATTAAATTGAAATGTGACAAAAAACATATTGTGCCTAATTCAGGCTGTAGATGTAGGTGCTTAACCAAAACCCTGAAACCAACAATAAATGTTATACAAGGTTTATGCATCTTTTGCTTAACTGTTCACATAAAAAAAAATTCAACCTTAATGAAATTAATTTACCTTCAAAATGGGTTCCCAATGTAAACCAGAACTACTCATATAAACCATACCATTTCTAGAGACAGTGGCAGGCGAGGCATTATCAATATTATGAGGTTCAAATATAATTTTACAGTTTGGTGCCATAGGTATACGATCACCATTAGCTAAAGTTAATGTTTTATTATCATCTAATACAGAGTTTAAATTCTCAATCCAGATAGCATCTACTGGTCCATCTAATACCAGCCAAATATGTTCTCCTGAAAAATAATCATAAAAACATATATTGTGGTTTTCATAAGCCAGTATTTCTATCAGAAAATGAAGCCTTTTGCATTGGTTTTTCTCACTATATTTTTTTAATGCTCCAAAAAAAGTAGCCTTGATTTTTTGATTTCTCTTATAAAGACCTAAACTGGTTTGATAGATAAGACTGTTTTACAAAAGTACAGGTAGAACAAAAAAAACAATGTAACCAAAACAGCAGTCGAACACAATAGATGAAAGTTCGTCCAATTGTTATGATTATTGACAGTCTGATCACAGAAAAAAAATCAGATGGTCCGAAATGAAAAAAAGAAAATTGATAAAGTAGCCTACCTTTCTTGACTCTTGTAGTTCTCCTCCATAGAGTAGAGAAAATACCATCAGTCCAATCATTGGTAGCAACATCTAGTCGACCAAACATCTGAGGTGCTGTGATAGCTTTAGGATTCATACGCCATTCTTTATGTGGTTCCCCAATATCAGACATAGCTTTCATTAACATATGTATACAGCATGTTTTACCGGCTCCACTAGGACCTAGCGCCATCATTCCATGACGTACACGCTGGGTCTCAAACAACTAGAAAACAAATGAAAACATTTAAACCATGATCCTTGAAACATCATACTATAAATAAACAACTTGTATTTCTATTTTTGCTTGACCTTCATTTTATAACTGATTTGTGAATTTGGTAAATCCTTGTAAAACAGAACAAAATGGCTTGCTTATACTCTTTCGAATCATCTGAATCTTTTAAAATGAGTTTGTCAAATAGAGATCTATTTCTGAGAATTCTCTTGGTAAGAAATTTTCTTTTTAGCATTTCATGTCAAATTGCAGCTCAAAGCAGATGTTAACATCTACCAACTAAATTACAATACAATTGAACTGACCTGAACCAGTTTTAGTGACCAGGCAGGATGATTGATCAACTTGGCGTCTGCTACATTATCAGCTATTGCTTTCTCTAGTTCAGGATATCCTGCTTTATCTAGTGTTATACCAGGGAATAAATCATTGATCAATGATAAGAACAATGGTTCATCTTGATCAACTAGTTTAGATAAATTCATATCACGTAAAACTCTCATGACAATGGTTTGTTCTGTATCAGTTGGATTCAGACGTTTGTTGGCTCCTAATGTTCTCAATACTGACAGAATATTTCTCAATCCAAAATCATAATGGACCTGAAAGAAAAAAGTCAAAGGTAAATTTTATCTTAACCAATACAAAAACTATTATACTATTTTTCCGACTCTCTCAAAGAGGCAATTCTCCCTCAAAACGTCATTAAGACTAATACGCTTGCAAAAATGAATCACATAGTTTGGAATTACTCAGCTGAATAGCTTAGTTGGTAGTTGGATTTCCTCAGATAAGCGATTAAGTGCTCTGGGTTCAAATCCTCCTCAAGATAAGCAAAATTCTGCTGCTATGGCCAGTTCTTCCAAAAGTTAATCTGGTATTGGATTTCTGTCAACTAAATCTTCAGTTATAATAAATATAGGAGGTTTTGTCTGTGAAAATTAAATTTCTAAATTTTGAAGAGATTTATAAATGATATAGCAATATAAAGAACAACTTTTAATTTTATTTCCATGGTAACAGTTCACCTTGAGATAAAATTCAAGTGACCCTACCTGTTTGGTGAGTTGTTCTTCACAAAGTTTATATAGAGTATAGAATTTTCTAGCTAATACAATATTATCAATAAAACCACAGGCAGCTAACTTGACACGTATAATAATCTGTCTATCTGGTACCATCATAGCAACCGTACGGAAATTAATCTTTAAATTCTCTGGTAACTCTTGACGACCAGCATAACCAGGGTTCTAAAATACAGAAAGAAGGAAAATGTTATTCATTACACACAAGATACCACACTGCTATTGGAATTTTGCATCCCTTTCAATATGACCACTTAGTGATAGCTGATATTCGTTCGGTATTTCCATTTGAAGAATTTTCAACTTTTATGAATTGAAGAGAAGAAACATACCATAGTTAAGAAAATACCAAATTCAGGATTCATTTCTACATTATCACCATCAGTAAATATAAAATTCTTCTTTCTCTCTTTCTTAGAGCTGAGTACAATAGCAATCTGTTGGGCAGCTACAGATAATACTGGCAAATCAATACGATTAAATTCATCAAAACATCCCCATGATCCTGACTGGGCCAGTCCTGAAATAGATTCAAATAATGGACAAATTAAAATGAGTCCAGTGAATGGAAAAAACAAATGTCTGTAAGGTGATGCTCGTTCTGAACAGGCTCTGGCCCCAACTAAACTGTATGAAAGTAGATATGTCACATTCCAATTTTTTAAAATTTTATTTCCTTCTCAAGCTTTTTGAATTCTGTCTGCACCTACTATTTTTTTTCGGCTCATGTAGAACGTATTCTAAACTCTGTTCCAACTTGTTTTATTGAACGTTCTGTTGATTCCATAAATCCCGAACTTGAAGAACTCACTAATCAAGCGGCCCCATAATTTTTAGAAGAGCTACAGAGTTGTTTCAAAATACAGAATTCTGTATCTGAATTTTTCTTGTAAGGACTACTACAGGTACTTGTATTCGCTAGTATTTATTGTATCAATAATTCCGCACAAGACAGTGCACTGGGCAGATTATCATGAAGAGTCTCATCTGAAAACTGAAATTCAATTACACGAATAGCATACCTTTGAAGATACGACCCAATCCTCTGAAATCCATCTGATCTGAACAATTAAATACCACTACATATTTTCCTAGACATCTGCCCATATCTTTAACTGTTTCTGTTTTACCAGTACCAGCTGGACCAGCAGGAGCACCTCCCATAGACATACCCAAAGCCTGAGCTAGAGTAATATAACATCTATCTGTTAGAGGTGTGATAACCAAACGTTCAGTACAGCCCAGAAATTCATTTTGATAGATAAAATCAACATCTGTGATAGATATAAGACATTTATCTTGGTCTTCTATAAAATAAAATCGGGACTGTTTCAACCATTCAAAATCCATGGGTGACTTGATATTTCTTCTACACTGAAAATAACAAAATGTCAAAATTTGAATACAAATACAAGTGAAAAAAAAAATGTTTTGTTCAGATTTGTGGACCAAATGTTGATGGTTGATAATACTTCTTCAGAATAGAAAGTTGTAAATAACAGAGAATAACCCCTACTAAAACTTAACATTCCAGGGCTTCAAGAGATGGGCAGTACCATTAAAAATTTTTTTGTGTCCGCAAATCTCATTCTGGAAAAACAGATTGGAAAATAAGGGGGTACTTTTGTGGCAACTTCAGGATCTGGTCCAGCAAGTCATGGCTAAAATCACCAATCCTCCATCAATTACAGACCACATCCAATTAACTTACCAATTCATCAAAAATATCTCTTTGATGTACATGTATAGTAATCAACGTTTCAAATTTAGTTCTGTCACGTTTGCTTAGTTCTTGTGTTGTCTGTGCTATTAATTTATTGAGCAGATCTAAGAAAGCCTGGTTGGTTTGAGCCATGATCTTTTTATCATATTTAACATTAGTTAAAGCTTCTGTAGAATCTCTTGTCCATATCATCTGTATTCCTAACAGACCAATCTATAACAACAAAAATATACTTAGTTTTGATAAATTTGATTTTCTATCCTATAATATGATACATAAATGGTTCGATCGTCCAGGCAAAGCAACAACTTATAAAAAGACATCAGAGGAAATATGGTAATGACGAACTTGCAGTTGCATCTAATAATCCTCCATAATATATTCTACCTCTATCAGCTGACAAAACAAATAGTAATACAACTATCTTGGTTTAAGATGCACTATTTTCAAATTGAAGGCAATCTCAACATACCTGTGCTGGGAACATGTTAAGAAACTCTAATAAATTAAAGCTTGAATCTTGTATAGCCATAGCAGCTGTTCTGATGACACCATGTACTGATTTCTGAGACATTTGTAATAATGACATCAACCATACTTCCACATTGCCTTCTGCCTTGACATGCTTCTCTAGCTACAATATAAATATAGGAAACATTCAATAAAGTTTACTTTAAAATTACAAAAAAACAAACCTTCAAAAATCCTTTCACTGTGATCAAAAAATTTGGTTTTTGAAAAAGAAATTCAACCTCATTGATATAGGCATTAGATTCCTAGCAGATATTTCAACTTTGCATTCCAAGGAGAATAAGAGCTGTGAAAGGCAGACAGCTAAAGTAAACAGCAGACGCACTAACATTGAGCACAGATACTTGGAACAATTTCAGGTCTTAAAGGGACACAGTCTAGTTTCGTCCAATACTGAATGATGGAAGTGAAAGTAGAACAAAAAGCTGAAATTGAGCTTTATCAGCTGGTTATCCTGCTTAATAAAATCAAAAATTTTACCTCGATAACTTCTTCTTCAGATGATATAATAGATAAGATATTATCAACAAATTTATCATGAAATTTAACACGTTTGGTATTATCAAATATACTGAGTAGATGAGCCTGGATGGTATGAGGATCACTAGCTTGTCCTAATATCTCTAACAGAGCTGGATCAGACACAAAGAAAAATCTGGGGAAGGAAAGTCTCTTCTTCTCCAAATATCTACAAAGATAAAATACAAACAAACATAAATATCACATTCTGAAATATAAGACATTTGATTGACATCTGTAGTGGAAAAGATACAAATGCCATAAGCATTCTTGGATATGTTTTGTAAAGCATGTGCTTCTTATAGAAAAAGGCTGAATTATTTTGGATTGATAAGCTCTCAATGAGTCAAATTTAGATTTATACTGCTGAAGTATTCTTGGTAATGTATTTCAAAAAATTTATATACACCATGTACTATTTTAAGTTGTCAATATGCAAAAATCCAACCAAATTATTAAGTTCAAATGCAAATTTTATTTCCTTATATTTTTTCAAAACTTAGTATAAGTTAACTTATATTGTTAAAGATATACTAAAACTTACCCAGTGAGTGATTTTTGACAGAGTTCTAACTGTTCTAATAAATGTGGTAGTAGTTGCATCAATGTTTCATCTCCAACACAACACTGTACAACTTGTGGTGTTTCATGAGCTTTAGTCATTATTTTAACCCAAGATTTATCTATATTACTGAATCTTTTAGCTTCCTGAAATTGTAATAAATTGTTTCAGGTTCAGTGTTCTTCTTTCAGATAAGCATGGAATAACTCAAGAGTAATTCAACACTTAAGAAAATCATGTACATACCTTAGGCAGTTGTTTAGCAATATCACCTCCTACAAATACAGCTTCTAGATAGACCCAGAGATTCTGTACAGTCATCCAATTCTCAATGATTTCTGATGAATTAGTTAAATTCTGTACCCACTGTTGTATATTCTTTTTAAATGGTGCATTATATCTGAAAAAGAGGAAAAGCATATAAAATTGGAAAAACTTTTAAGAGAAAGAGAGTTTTACATTTTACTTTTTCCACTTGACTCGGCTAATTAAGACACTTGCAGTGTGCAATCAGGCAAAGTGTCTTATGATAATGATTCCTTACTTTTACAAGTGATACAGGTTAGTTTCAGCTAAAAAGTGGCAGGCAATATTGATGAAACAATTTTGGTAAAATATCAAGACTGACAATTTACTCCCAAAATAAATGGATTTAAAATTCTGCCTCACCTGTTACTCAGCAATGAGCTAAGAACCATAAGCGAATCTTCCATGATAGAAACAATTTCTGATGTAGTATCACCTCTCAATAGTAGTTCCCCACGAGTCTTAAAACTTCCAAACGTAAACTCCTTACTGCTCCAATCAGCAATAACTTGTTTCAGTTTGGCCTCAATATCTTTTTCTTTCACAGCTGAGATACAGATATCCTGAAAGTAGCCATTTGCAAATTAATTACATTGTACGCTTAAGATGTGTTCTTCGAAACATGTATGTACAATATGTGTAACAAAGAAACATTATTAGTTATGTGAACTCAATGAAAGAGATGTCGAGTTGACAAACCCAGATGCAGAGTGGCAACCATGTTTCAAAAGGACAGACATGCAACACTTGCTAAAGTATTTATTGCTGTTGCACTCTTATTCGTTAAGGTTATTTGACTAAAACTCTAGACCAATGGAATAATCCAGGAACATTTTACTGGAAATTTTTCTATGGAATAAAATATAAAATATCATGGCTGAACTTCCATGTCTGCAGCCTGGACAATTTCAGAATGAGAAAGCTAAAAGAAAATCAACAAATCTTTACCTCTATCTCTTCCTTATATTTCAACAATGGTGCCTCTAATATATTCCTCAAGGTAAAGGCTTCACTTTCAATATCAAATACATGAGATGTCAAGTCTGACATTCTCTGCCAATGCCGATTCTTCATGGCTTTATTAGCCATTAATTCTAACAATGGTACCATTTCATTAAAATCATCAATAGTCTTTTTCAAATCATCAAAAGCTGGCCAGTCTTTTAAAGCTTTTGGTAGTTTTCGGCACCTGAAATTTAGTCAACAACTTACGTCATTGCACGCCTTATTGTTGCCATTTCGGGGGTTGACATCCGCATCAAAATAATCTGCTACGTCGGTAGAAACATTTATGTATTGCTGTTTTTTTCAATTTGAAATTTTCACATGGTGATGTCTGCTCAGAAAGTTGACAAGAATCAAGTGCAATGCAAACACATTTCTGTAAGGTTCGGTAGGTTACTCAGAAATTTTCGATCTCGATGGGCGTGTGATAGTCCGATGACCTTGAATAAGTCATCTTCACTCATTATCCCAGTCGACCCAGCTGTAAATGGGTATGGATGATCCAGGAGAGATCAATGTCGAGAGGTTTGACCAAGGACCAGCTGGCACAAAGGATTCATAACTGTGAACCTAAGTTGTTACCCTTGTAAAATATAGTTGTTTCTTTCTTTTACCTTGAAAACAAGAAAACAAAAACATGACAATACCTGGTTTGGAAATCCTGTAGTTCTTGAGTGATCTTCTCAATGTTGACTTCCTGCCATAGAATATCATAATAACCATGTACTGTATCAATAACATCATTATATAAACCATATAATTTCTGTAGTAGATTTAACTCCTTTCTGATAGTATGGAGTTGAGGGTACTCAGTAACTGGTAGACCGAATAATTCTTCACCCCCAGTATATGTCTGGTATTTACGATATAATGTATCAAACTGATTTTGAAATACTATCAATCTATCTGAGGCTTCTCTTGGTTCCACGCCTGGCACCATTGGTCCATTCTACAAAACAAAGAACATTACAAGACTCAAAATAGAATTCTACCATTGCAAAGAAATCAACATATCACATCCAATGGGAGACTTTATTTTATCATAAGCTTGCTATGGCTTATGTTTTTACTTTTACTTATTTTTCAAAAAAAATTGTATTTTAAAATACTAAATTGTCACAAGTGTAAAATACTATTCAGTGTAAAATACTATCCAATTTCAAATACTGTCCAATGTAAAATACTATCCAATTTCAAATACTGTCCAATGTAAAATACTATCCAATTTCAAATACTGTCCAATGTAAAATACTATCCAATTTCAAATACTGTCCAATGTAAAATACCATCCAATTTCAAATACTGTCCAATGTAAAATACTATCCAATGTGAGATACTGTTAAATGTGAGATACTGTTAAACCGTCCAATGTAAAATACTGTCTAATTTAAAATGCTGTCCAAAGAAGGCTACTATCCAAAAAAGATAAACTATCCAATGATAAGGCCTTTTTCTACAAATTAATGAATACTACTTTGGTTATAGCAAAGTTTTGGGCTCAAAAAGTCAGTGACAAAACTGATTAGTGAAATTATTTTTACCTTGTCATAATCATCATAGAAATTATCACAATCTTCAATAAATATTTTTACATTCTCTATCAGGTTACCACGGAAATTAGGTTGTATTTCTAATAGATGAGATTGTACAGTTGAAGCCTGGGCATTCAGTTTCTCCCAGGAATATCTCATAGTGTCACATTTCTCAGCATCTTCTTTAACCACTGGTAAATCATGTTTATTCATTAATGCATAGGATTCCTGAAATAGTCAAAATAGTAATGTTTAAGACTTCTTTTTCCAGTCTACATGGGTAAATTGGGTGACTCAGATGCTTGCTTGCTAACCTTGAGACCAGTTTAAAGCATAAGCTTACTTAAGATTTTTAAGGTTTCCCACAGTCAAAGATGAACTTTGGTGGAGCTGATATGGAACAAAAAAATTCCCTGTGTGCTATGACTCAGTTGTCTTATTTTCAGAATGTCAAAGATTTAAAGATGTATTAGTTGTAAAATGATGATGAACTTACTTCAATCGGAGCAAGGCTCATATCAATTCTTATTTCATTTTCACGAATTTCTTTCAGAGCTTGCATAGAGAATCTGATATCATCTAAATCTTTAATAGGTCTATTTAGACGTTTGGTCATATCTTCAATAAAGTTGAATATCTCTTCCATTTCATTCTGGTATTTATTATCACAAGCTTTACCATAGTGTAATCTCCATGCTCTAGTTTCTGTTGTTAATCCTAGTTTTAACTTTTCTGTAAAATATACCAATTGGAATACAGAGATGGAATAGTACCTAATCGTAGATGAATTTCGGTGGAATAAGCTCTGCATTACATAAGTTTTCTTATTGACAGAGTTGACAGAGCTGAGTGTTTTAACCAGGCATATCATTAAACACCTTACATCACACAAAAGAAGAAGTGATAAATAATGATGGAAACCAAGGAGTCAGAGATCGTTTCTATATCAGTCAAAAGCAACACTACTCAATAGTTCTTAAATTCAGTTCAACCATGATCACTTCTGCAGGATACCTGATATCTATCTGCAACTGAGTTTGTCAATTTGACATCAAGTTTACAATTACCACATAGTTAATAATATGTTTTTTTTATCATTTCTTTGTTAGAGGTGCTCAAACTCAACACTCTCTAATTTAGGAGGTGAGAATGTTACACCTACCTGTATAAAGAGCAATGGCACCAACATCATAATATTCAGGTTCACTCATGATCTGTTTCTCTAGTTCATTATAATGGTGTATCTTAGCTTCAAATTCTGATAATTTAGGATCATCTTTCATAAACTCTTCCAATTCATCATCTCTATCTTTAGCCCAGATAGAATGGTAGTGAGAAAACTTCTCTAAAGCTGTTGTTATTTCCTGTCATATGAAAAACAGTAGTTATGGTGTAAGGCATGTAGGGTTAACTGAGATAAAGGCACGCCTCATTCACAAAAATTCAACTCAAAATCATTTTAACATTGGTCAAATCACTAAAATTGATTTTAAATTTAGTTTTTTTAACCAATTACACTCAAATACTTTATATAATAAGGATTTTATCTTTGTTAGAATTTCAATGTTAAGACCCCACATTTTCACAGCCAAGATTTGGGTATACATTACCTGGTCTTTGTGAATATAACATTATTTAGCATAGGGTACAAACCACAGTTGGAACACTATGATAGAAAATTCAAAAACATAATGGCTGCTCACCTTCTTGGTTGAGTTGATAGATGTTGACAGTAAAGAAGCTAATTTAGCGATCTCCTTATTATCAGACACACTCTTAAAATAATTCTTATTCTGTTGTTGTATGGTTAGACTTGTAGCTGTTGCTTCTCCTTCTAGCCTCTTAGATCCCTCAGACATCATACTAATAGCACTAGCTCTTCTTTCAAAAGAGTATTCGCCTACTCCAGACATTGAGGCATCCAACAATTGTGGCTTGGCTCTTCTTTTTCTTTCCTTGCTCCATTGGGAGACTCCCTTACTGACACTGATGATGGTTTGAACTGTTTTATTCAAAGCTTGTTGGACTTCATCTAAAGCTGGCTGCATGACTATATTAGGTATAGCTAATACAGCACTGGTTCTAAAGAATGGTCGGCTGTCCTTTTTACTATCTCCATATGAGGTATCTCCTACAAAGACCAAGAATAGAAAATCATTATTCATAATGGAGTCTGTTAAAATCAAATAAACAATCCAATACTGATCTTTACTATGAACTCTATATATAAATCCGCAAAACATCACAAGTTACTGGAAACTTTCAATAAAAAGCAATAAGTAAAAACGTACCCATTCCAATGTAGTGAGCCATAGAGCTGGATGTAATACGTTTACGTAGAGACTCCAGAGTATATCTTGTGGCACGTAATAAAGCATCAAGATTTCTGTTATTGAAGTGTATCAGTAATTCCATGGCAGATTCTTCCAGGTTCTCTCTCATTTCACGTTTCTTCTTGGCTACACTCAAAGCTTTAGATGATAATGGTCGAGCTGATTGCCGACTTCCTGCTGCTGATTTACTTCTCTCTGTCTCTTCTCCTGCTGATAAAAGTGGATCAATTGATAATAAAATATTCTGGAAGGGACAGCATCTAATTTACATAAACATGGTCATCAAAATCTTCTACTGGAAGTATCAAAAGTCAATAAGCTATTTTGCTTACTTATTAGTTCAAAAAAGAAAAGATCAAAATTTAAGAGATTTTGCTTAGGCCATAAGTCCTTTACTGGAAAGTGAAACCTAATTTCCAAAACCAGCTGTCCTTATCCGAAACATCTGGCATACAAAAATATGGTATATTACTTTGCTTCGTCCGAAAAAATTGTCTACCTTCTTCTTCTTCACTCTCATCACCTTCTACTGCCTCAGGTTCAGAATTAACGAGCATATTAATTAATTCATTAGCAGCCTCTTCTACAGTCTGACTCTTAGTTTGGAGAATCTGAGCTCCTTTAGCACATAACATCTAAAAATAACAAGAATTTATTGAAAGATCATAATATATAGCGTTGCTCAAAACAGTTTACTTTTCTTCACCTCGGTCCCCAATTTCCAATTTACCAATTTAAAATCATTTTGCAAAGGGCCTTGACTAAACACTTTGCAATTTTTTCATATAAATAGATAGCCTACCTGGGTATTTTCTAAGAATTTCTCTACAGTCCATGGTTCATCTTCAGGAAGTTCACACAGTTTAGTTGAAGCCATTTCTTTCAAGATAGCGTCAATACGGAATTCTGTGACATCATGAGCTCTATCCATCAGTAGTTCTAGATCAGCTAGAGCAGCATAGACATTTTTAATATAATCATCAATACCCAGTGACATCCAGTTTAATGTTGTTATACCTGGCTCTATAGCTTCATCAACATGAGCTAAATGTTGTCCCATCAATGATTCAAAAGCAACAGGTATTTTAGCTCTGACTCGTTGGTTCTCATCTAACATCATCTACAATGTTAGAAAGCAGTAACTACTGAACAAAGTTGACAGAGCTAGAGCAAATACATTCTGAACTCAAAGCTGCATATAATAACGTACTAGCCTAGGTGACAGACACTAGCCATGACATCCAATTTTTGTTCCCATCTGGTTGTAAAGGTTATTTGCGTGTCTGTCACGCAACAAGTTGGCAGAAGAGAAATAAATCATGGCTGAAACTCAAGTCACCAATTTCAAATCTTCAAAAACAAGAGATAAATTTGATTGCAGGACATCTAAATTATAGCAGATAACAATCCAACTACACTAATTGGGCACAAGATGATTGAACTTCCAAAGTCAACTGGATTCTAAGATAGCCACCTAATAAACATGTTATATGAATCTGGTTTCTTACTCACTGAGAAAGGAATGGTCAAATTACCTGTAAAGCATTGTAATGATCTTTATATTCAGCTTGTTTGGCTCTCATTTTTATAGCCATTGGAGGTATATCTAGTCCTAGTCTACCCATACAATCTGTTTCTCTTATCATTGACAAAATCTGAGGGTCAAAGTTCAGGAACAGTTCTTTACTAGTACTCTCCGGATGGACAACTTGTACCAGAAGTGAAGCTTGGAGGCCAGATTTTATAGCTTCCACCTGAAAACAAACATTATACCAAATACATTTTATGAGAAATAAATTGCTTTTTGTACTCTTCATTGATATACTTGCAGAAGATTTTGTCTTCAGAGGTCTTTCTAGAATTTGTTCCTTATTGACCTCTCCCTTCATGAACTCATGTCAACTTCACTGAGTTAATATTTCAATAAGCATACCTGTCTAATCCAGCCTCTATGATACAAAACTTCAAACTCTAACAAAACTTTAGCTAATTTATTAAAATTCTTAATTATCTTTTTAGCTTCATTGGTCTGTAGAATTTGAGGGTGTTCCTGGAATACTTCCATTGGTTCTTGTATACGTCTGAATAATTGACGAGCCCAGGCTATTTTACCTGTAAAGAAAGAGTATTACAAATAGAGCTGATAGATCAAACAATGTAACACTCATAGACTATAATCTGGCCGCATGTAAAACAATTTGCTATGAATAATGTAAAGTTGTTATTCCTTGAAAATTAATTAATATATGAAATGTATTCAATTTTTTGTCTTATCCTTCGGCACCTGATATGCCTATATATGTATCATGTAATGCAGGAAATAAACTAAAAATTCTGAATCTCTTGCAATATTTTCTGGGTCCTTAATTTAACCTAGCCTATAAGTCTTCAGAAATGATGCTTGGTTTTTTTAATATAGATCATGAAAGATCCTGGCTAGCAGACGTCAATGAGTGTTGCTTCTGCTTAAGTCAACAAATGGTTGTCATGGGTTCTATTCTTAGTCAACACGTGATTCAGAAAATCTGGTGATGTTTAATAAGTCACCTTTCCACATTACTCCAGTGGATCCAGCTAAAAATGGCTACTAATTAATATTCAAGAAAAGACCATTGCCTTAATGTTAAGCCAAAGAAGGATCTAAGGATTTTATCTTTATACAAAACAATGGTAGACATCTTACCTGCTATAGGTGGTAAATCTCTAGCTACTGGTGGATCAGTTTTATTTTTCTGGTAAAGTCTGGATACATTCTCTATATCTTTACCATAATGACTTAAGATACGTTGATATTTGTCTGATATTCCCAGATTAGGCAGATTAAGTCTCTCAAACTTACGTAGTAACATTAAGGCTCTTTGAGTACTGGATATTTTTTCAAATCTGTTATCCATAAACTGTAGTATGTTGGACTGAAAGGTAAAAGGATTATTTTAAATGCAGAACTGAAACCTTCAGTGACAAAAAAAATCTGTGTCTTGAACAGGCTAGATTTAAGGACCATTTGCAAGAATTTTTTTCTTTTAGAAACTGAAAACATGCTTGACCATATTGTAAGATTCCATTAAATGTTCACTATATGCCTTCATTGGCTTGTTTGCCAAGACCAAAATGAGGCATTTTGCATACATGTGTGCGCAGACGTCTAAAACATTAATCTAACTATAAATCTTACATGTAGCTGCTGAATTTGTCTTTTAAAATCTTCAAAATCTTGGTCAAATTCCATTTTTCTCTGATCCAAATAATCATAAGGCTTCTTCTTCATAGCAGTAACAATAACATTGAACTTGCTGGCCTGTGTTTCCATATCTGAGTTAAAATATCAAGTAGATTTAACTTTTCATTTACATGATTACCAGAAGACAGCGACTGTCCACATCAAACAAAACTCATTAAGCTATAACTACTGAAGATTTCTGGAGAATTTATTTTGACTGCTGCAAACAAACCAGACAAACAGTGGAAGTACTGCATTAATTTTGGCCAAGTATTTGAATGCTTTTGGTCTCACCTTCTATTTTGGATTCAGCCAGATGTGAATACATTTCCATTGTATCAAACATTTCAATAATCTTCTTCAAACGGCGAGTAAATGTGTCAAATTTCCCAAATATATACATCTCGGAGAAATCAAAAGGTCTTTCATTGGGCATCTTTTCTAGTTTAGCTTTTGTCTTGTGAAAACAATCTTGATATTCAGCATTTAGTCGAATACAGTCGTTTAATTTCTTTTTAACAATATCTATAGGTTGAGACCAGACGGTTTCAGATCGGTCGTTAGTGATATAGGCTTTACAGGCTGTAATCATCTGGTTGGTAATCTATAATACAAATTGGGCAACTTAATCATCAGAAGGAGAAAACTAGCATATGCAGATCAAATCTGCAGTTCATAAAGCAACATCCATTATTATCGAATTGAACAACCATTCAACAGAAGATAACCCAGAATTAGCTGATACGCTCAGAGATTTCAGCACTTACTAACATTAGGTTCTGTGGAACACTCAGTTCATTCTCATGTGAATGTTTACATGTTTATATTTTTGAAATATATGTCATAGCAGAAAATACAATCAATATTTACCTTGACAAATAGTGATGTCATTCTTTCTGATGTATTATAATATTGTGATATACTATGTATCATTCTAATAGCATTGATTAACCCTGGTATACCATCTAACATACCAACCTAAAAAAATAACATAATCATAAAGATATACCATCTAACATATCGACCTAAATAATACCATAATCATAAAGATATACCATCAAACATACCAACCTAAAAAATAACATAATCATAGAGATATAACAACTAACATACCAATCTATAAAATATAACATAATCATAGAGATAACATGATATACCATAACATTACATACCACCCTGGATAATAAAATAATCATAGTGATATACTATCTAACATACCAACCTAAAAATAAGGTGATCATAGAGATACACCATACCATAGCCATAGCTTACAAGCTACATGACAAAAGCTATCTGAAATATTAAACAAGAATCATGCCTCAAAAGATATTACATAAAGAAAGCGAATATACTTACTGGATCACTGTTATATAAGGGATCACAGAATTTCTCCAATGTATATAAAAACTTAACATTATCTTTCGCTTCATTAGCTGTATCAGTTATTCTTCTATCCAATTCTTGCCAAGTCTATAAAGAATTTACAATCAAAAGGACAGTTAGCAGAAACAAAATTTCACGTGGCACAGAGTGGGACTTTGCAAATGTAGCAAAATGCAAAAGACCCTGAAAAAATCAACCTTCCACGATAATTAGATCAAGCGCAAGAACAGTCTAAAGTTGAGAAGAATTGTTTGGAAGATTGTTATAACGGAAGTAGACAGACCTCACAAATGAAAGTATCAGAAGATAGCCAAGGTCAATGACATTTGACATTGAAAGGGAGACGGTCAACAAAGGTCAAGGTTACGAGATACAAGTCATCAAAATTTTAAATTATATACGGCTATAAAACCGGAAGTTGAGATAGGACAGCAAATATAAAAGTATAAATAGATAGCCAATGTGAATGACCTTTGATCCTACAAAAATCAGGTTCAAAAAAGGTCAAGGTCAAAAATTGAAAATTTTGAATTTTCAAAACCTGTTCCTTTTTTTGAACTATAAAGCTGAAACAATCGAACTTCTAAGACAACGTGGCTCAACGGATGAAGTAATTGTATGCAAAGTTCCATTTTGAACAAATGTAAACGTTGCGAGTTATGTCCCTTGCCATAATTGTCAATAATGAGTAATTTAACCCGGATGTGCTACGCCCACCTCAATTTCTTTTGCATAGGTTAATTGATATTCTGAATGTTATGTTGTGTTCCAAATTTAAAGCTTCTACATCATACAGGTCAAAAGATATAGGTCAGCAAGAGTCAATAAAGGTCAAAATAGGAAATTGAAAATATGGAAATTTCAAAACCCGTTCCTTTTTTGGAACTGTACAGCTGAAACAATTGACCTATTAACACAAACTGGCCAAAATCATGAGGTAATTGTGTGCAAAGTTCCTTTTTGAACATATGTATCCTATGCGAGTTATGCCCCTTTCCCAAAATGTAAACAATTAGTAATTCAACCCGGATGTGCCACGCCCACCTCAACTTTTTTGTCATAGGTTAATTCATATTCAAATTGTCTTGTTGTGTTCCAAGTTTCAATGTTCTACATAAAATAGGTCATAAGATATATACACACCAAGCTCAAAGAAACAGAAATATTGTAAAAAAAACTCAAATTTGAAAAATTCACGAATTTCAATTTTGCTTTAAAAAACGATTGTTATAAATCACTTGAAAGAGCATGAAAAGCACATTAAGAATCCGAAAAAATTAACCCTCTAGGTTAATTAGGTCACGTGCTAGAGCAGTCCAAAGTTGCGAATTTGGCTGTTTTCGGACAGCTATAAAACCGGAAGTACATGTCGGAGGACAAATGTCAAAGTATTAACTGATAGCTAAGGTCAATGACCTTTGACCTTATGAAGGTCAAGGTCATCAAAGTTCATTTGACACCAAAATCATTTAAATCGGATGAGCCATTATGTCTGAATAAAAATCGAATCATTTCAGAAAAATCAACATGGCGGCCAAAGTTTCACGTCTGTTCCGGATTTTTTTTTCTTCGTTTTTTTGTCATAACTTTGTCTACCTATCAGCAT